TAGTAAGAGGGGAGACCATTAGGGGATTAGTGACAGCGTTTCAAGTGGGTGGGTCATATTTGATCTTCGGATCTGTTAGTCCACGGATCAACTTCTTCTGAAAGCTCCCTTATACAAAGTGTTTGTACATGTAGGCTAAACACTGAGAGCCCGTTAATTTTTTTCAATTGCCTTGGCAACTTGTATTTGGTTTGATACTGAATAGTCAAAGTACAATATATACATAGAAAAGTTCATGACAGGCTACAGGGTAGTTGTCCTCAATAACCCAATGGTCCGTATCATTGCTAAAGGACGACAGATGTGAAAAATTGACACATCAGCTTAGTCGTCCGTCTTTCATTGGCGATCACATGATCTGTGGACAAACTTAATGGCCTGTAATTTATTAACTGCCTACAACGTTATTTCAAACAAGTCAAATAATTTTGATGATTAAGAGATAATTACACACTTGATTATAATAAGTGAAACATGGTCTATTCTTCTTTATAATCGTTTCAAATTAATATTGGAAGTGTTTGACTGATAATATTTCAATGAATATGGCACGTATAATGATGAAATGCATCATGTAAATTATTATTATTATGGTTATGTAGGATATATTGTAACTTGCAAGCTATGCAAAGGGACCCATTGTCCCTTGGATAACAAATTTATGCTGCGCGTGGACAAATTATGACCCCATGTCCTGCGTTACCAAGTTGTTAGTTCTTATAATCTCCCTTTGATGCGTGGTATTTGGTCATTTACCGGATTAACAAAGAGGCTTCTTGCTCGCTTTGTGTTGGGTAGACCAGTATCTCACGAACTTAACTTTTCTATCTGGTTTTGAAGTGCAGCGCTAGGACGAATAAAACGCTTTCCTATTCCTTTTATTTCTATTTGTCCAAGTGCAGCGTTATTGAGCAATAACGAATTCTATGCCCTTTATCTACCAATACCACTAAGACAGCTGGCGGTTCATTTTTTGCACATTTCGCCAAATTCAGCGCCTGTTGGTTTTCAGGGAGTTCACCTTGACCCATACACATACACTGTATATGTTGTAATATCATCACATGCTGTCAAACAAAATATAAGTTGTCGAGGGAATAAAAGTCACTTTATAAGCCTCTTTTTAGGCATATCGTCCTTCCTATAAAAGTGGCAAACCCCTCCACGAAGCCATTTTTATTTCCTAAACGCGTCTTCTAAAATAATAATTAATAACAGCAACCAGGTCTGGAAGTAAGAGAGAATTCATAAGGGGCCCATGTTTTGATTTCGAAGAATAAATTTTTCTCATAATTCTATACGGTCCTGTGATATAGGGGTATTGCTTTAGTGTGGTTTCGTTATCACTGGTTCAACAACGGCTTGTCTACACAAAATATGTTAAAAATTTAAGTGTTCTTATTTATTTCTTTATTTTTCCCCGTACATTGTAATTATTGTAAAGTGTGCAGGTATATTTTCTTCAGAATGGAAAATAAGTGCGCATGGAATCCATTACCGTTATTGTAATACTTAATTGTGATACATTCTATCAATCTGTCTGTTTGGATCACTGATCTTTTTGTTTGTCTGTTTGGAAGGCTTACTGTAGTATAAATCGCGTTGTCAAGACAGGGGAGCACGAGAAGAAGCAATGAGGTGACGTCACATGCCTCTTCAAAGGGAGAAGGATTACAGAGAGGAGTGTTCAAACCATGTTCCCAAGCCCATTTCTTTTCAGTCACGTCTAATTTACAGAAGGGACTGTTTCATTTTTGTCTCCCTTTTAGACGCACCGCATAGATTGTGTGCTAAATGGTGATCAGAGCGCTTATCAAATTGAGGGCTGCGAAAATCTGCACGATGCACCATTACTGAATCCCACCCACGCCAATCTAGGATCCTAGCGCCAATTAACTACTATTTACAAAAGCCTGAATCCTTCCCTGCGTACTGTCATGATATATCATGTGCGTTACTAATCAACACAAAATCTAACCATTTTGTCTAAGATCATATTTTGCATGGAATTTGCAAAGCAAGCACCAATTGACAATTTAGCATTTGCTCTTTCGAAACCGTGTACAATACAATAAGAGAACGGATTTACAGCGTGAATGGCGGACGCGTGACAAAGATAATATTCCAATGCCCTTTGGTTTGAGAAGTAGCACAAACACCCGTGGCTAAATTATCCACCCACGATTTGTATGCTCAGTCTTTAAGTTATAATTGTCAAACAACTGGGCATTTTTCAAGTTGCTATTTTCCATTAGGACAATTTCCTCTCCCCTTAATCGTTGGCCACTTTGATTCCATGCTGTTTCCCTCTCTGTCTATTTTTATGCTGATATCGATAATAAGCAATGCACTCTTTTTATAGAAACATCGGATTTGAAACGCATTAGTGCATATTACAATTTCTATACATTATATAATTCTTTTTTCTAAATTTTTCGGTTCATCGATACGTGTCACAGAGCAGTGATTTTGCTTAGCGCCTCCCTTTTATATTCTTTTGAATTTTCTTTCCACCACTGTAAAATTTACAGTAGCGTAAATAATGGATTTGCATTTTGTTTTATTTGTCTTTTTTTACAATATATATGATAACGGCTGAGGCAACACACCCAAAAGTCTGTTCGATCCTTCGATCGCTTTTTTACGGGGCGTTTTTTTTTCTTCTTCTAATATACAATTGTTTCTTAGACGAGCATTTGTGGTCGCACAAGGCAGACGACTTCTGTCGGCTTATGCGTAAAAATTCAATAAACCGTAAACGAGTTCGTATTAATGTTCAACGCGTAGAGCGACTTCAAACAGTTTTTGCATGAAATGCGTCACATCGAACCCATCAGCCATGGATTTCAAACATGTGCTGTATTCGTCTAGCATTGTTGCTGGATTTGTAATAATCAAGACTCGGTATTTTTAGTCTTTTCCATTCGCAATGGCAGGAGAAAATTGCTCTTTTGTCTGTTGCTGGGTGTTAACAATAACTTTTTTCTCTTATTTGTATCTTGAAACAAATCCATGATTACATGACGGTATACATTTTCACGAGACGAAAAGTTTCCCAGACCATACATGTAGATATGGTCCGGGATCTTTAATCAGATCTCTAATCGAAGATGCGATGCTTTTTTTAGGCGATGACCAAAATTTAAAAAGATAATAAATGAAAGGCCTAGGGATTATCAGAATCGGAATAAATTATTTTTTATCAATGGCAACATTATTTGACGAAGATATGGAAGGCTTAAACATAGATTTAGCCTAGGGATAATTTTCAGTACCAGAATAAATTATGTTTTCATCACCGATCATCAGTTGAACAGTGTTTAATACATTTTAACTTCACTCATGGTTTTTAAAAAATAAAAAAATCGAGGTCAAGCACTGAGATTTATACAAGTTAAAGATGGTAATAACTTCGGTTGTGGTGATCGAAATTTGAATGAAAACGTGGTAAAGACGCTTGGAAACAGTGCTTTGAATTTATGAATAAACTTCATAGAAGGTATTGAAAAGAAAGCTTCGAAAGTGCGATAAAATCTGCTTCAAAGTATATTTCAAGACAGTAATTCGTCATCCACGCCTGTGAGCAAAGGTGTGATTTAAATGATGTATAAAAATAATGATTCATTCTCGTGTACTCTGTAAATTTGCTGTAAAGTTTTCTTCTTCTTTTTTATTCATTTCATACCACACTAGGAACAAATCATTCCGTGTCCATTTCTAAAGCAAGTTTCATCGCATTAGCACCGAAACATTGATTTCATTTCTCACACCCTCAGCCTAATAATGAACTATTTCCCACTTTTTATGGGCGTTTTATTACTGGACAATTCATCATTGGTCACATTGTGTATAATAATGGTTTCCCACCAATACAATCACCAGATAACTGTCCATCCCGGGGATGACTGTCTAGGAAACAGCCGCTTACTTCGTCTCTATGGGGAAGTAGAATTTTCCGTACTCGCTACCCTACCTCATAATGGTCAGTCATGCAAATCCTCCATTTATCGGGGTCTGCGGTCGACCGGCTTGACCCTTGAGAGAAATCTAAGAGAAAGTTAAACGGTGCCATTTGTTCGCCGATCACGTCATTGTCAACATATTAGAAAAGAATCAACCTCAATCTTTTTTTTTTTCAAATAAGAGAATGAAAAGAAATTTGAGTGAATTGGTGTGAGACAGAAACGCCCTCACACTCCCTAGCTGATAAGCTGATAAGGGTGTAATAGAATTTACCTATGCGGACTATTCGAAAACGACAGTTTAAGTAGAATTTATAAAATTCTTTCAGCATATAAAAAGCGACAATTTGTTTTTAATTCTGATTACGTGACGGAAAAAGTGATTTCCGGTATAGGCTAAATGCATAGACCAAAAGGCACATTCACGACAACGCTAAATTATATTCTTATATTACATTCTTAAGAGTGCGCTTTCTTGCTCATCTAGCAATATCTCAATCTTAATTAACACGGTGAGGTACATAAGGTTCGATGTTGTTACGTCCAGTCTATTGATTGTCATCAATATGACATGTTGATTTTCAGCGAATGGCATTTGCTTTGAACAGAGCGTGTTTGATTGTTTGCGCGGGCCGTTGCTTACACAAATCAAAAGCTACACAGCACGTGGCACGCGACGAGTCGGGCAGCATCGTTTCGTATTCTAAAGAGATTGTCAGGATTTTTTACATTGCAACAGGTATGGCGTGGACCTCGCTCAGCTACGAGGGCCCTGTAAGAGCGACAATGGGCATGTAGTACTGCTGTATCGATTTGTGTGTGTAACTTGTGGTGAAGATAATGTCATTCATTCATAATCTAAATCGTTTGGGAAGTCCCCCCAGTAGTCCGATGTGACGTGTTCCAATGATCACAGGCTTAGACTCGCAACTGACATTATTTATATGAGCATGTCTAGCCAAGAGGAGGAAGCCCCACCCCCTTAACGACCAAATTTGGTCTGTGTACATTTGTGACTAAATTGGTATAAATAAGCTAACTCTTCCAGGCTGCTTTTCATTCGACACGTTCAAAATAAAGAGTGAACACCGTCCACACTCACACAGATGAAGAGACGAAGACTTTGACGGTGGAGGAAAACAGAAGGGTGATCTTAGAGGAGAGGTCAATAGCATAAAATATTCATAGCATTGGACATGGTGAATTTGTTACATAAGCCACAGTGGCAGGCCGTCGTGATCGTCGTAATACTCACTAGGGTGGCTCTGACTCACGCCCTGCCAACCCCAGGGCATCACAGCCACAAGCGCTTAAAACGGGAGAGACTTCATGCCATACAGAAGGGAATTCTTAACAAACTAGGACTACAGAAAGTTCCGGACGCTTCACGTTTTAACATTACCTCAGAAGAGAGAGAAAAAATGATACGACTTTATAACAAATCCTTGCAATTGTCTCACGACAGGACTCATGTATTGTACGAAAGAGAGGAATATTTCGCCAAAACATTTCACAGTTTTTCATCCACTGGTAAGTGTTTGTTTGTTTTCAGTTCATTTATATTGATTTTGGTGGTATTTGTAAAATCCATATCATAAAATATAAAAATACTCCCCATTTTGCTAGGTAAATTATAAGGTGTGACCTGTTCCATCCTATTTGTTCAACAGGTGTGAACGGGTGTCCATTGAAGACTTAATTAGAGCCAATTTCCCTAAATCTGAGAGATCGATACCAGCTTAATCAAAAGCTGGCGGTATTTACAGGATTATTTTGGGGCGGGGTTTTATGTCAATAGGGAAGATAACAGATCAGATATGCAAGGAATTTAACAAATACAAAAGATCATACTCAATACACTTTCCTCGCCGTTTTAACCTCTGGGCCAAAACCGCTGAACCCGAAGACCTGAAGCATGCACAAGTGTTTGGGCAGCTTAGCCACTTGTGAAATCGTGAAAGGATTAATTAAAGGACAATTAATATTTATGTTCTCAGTTTTTTTTTTCTTGAACGCTAAGGAACCGAACCGACGAACTACTGTCCTTAAGGCATTTCGAATGAAACTTATCAAAGGGTAAATGAAGACTGGTTTAGATACTAAACACGTCAACCCTATAAATAGGTGCTGGTCATTTTCGATCACATATCGATAAGGTTATCTTCCGGTGGCTTTAAAAAGTTAAATGATGTTAACCAGAAGAGATATAGATAGAAACATGCGACTTTCTGAAAGATCACCTTTTGGCAAACAGGGGAAATAAAAAGAAATAATAATGAGATTATGGGCTTGCTAAAGCTTAGCATGACGTCAAGCGTATTGTCACTTAAGCCAAATACACCTCACAATCTCATGTGTTCATAAAAAAAAAGATGGCAAGTGTAAGTGACCTCAAAATCCCCAGCCATGGGAGATGCAATAAACGGCATTCCTTTAACACGTTGCACTTAGCGAAGGTGTCATATGTGGGTTGACTTTGCAGTTATGTTGCTCCCTGCGACTGTAAAAATAGCTTTAATTGACCCCTTCCCAATAGATAAAGTGTGTAACAGATTGAACAGGAATGCTCATGAGCAGAGTAAATATGTACAAAAATACACACGTACACCGGCGCTCAACACCGACCATCGCTTTGGACGGCCACCCAGTACATTGCAATATTGATAGCTGCGCAAGCCTCTAATCCAGTACCAAAAATGTACACAACGACATTCTTTAAAGCCATAGTACGGCATGACACCGAATCAACATCACAAGAGGCTCTCTCAGATATCGAGAAGTCACGAGTCTTGTGCGTTGGCATACAGAGGGGTTTCTCAGGTATTCCGAATTACGTAGCGCATAATTATAAAACCAGCATACCTTGAGTTTTGGTGCTGTGTTGTTAACACCAAGCAACCGAGACACATCGATCATCGCTTTTTGCGAATGATTACCCAATTGTTATTGATAATTGATATTATTAAGGACAGTGCATCAAGCAAGGCAGAACAGCCTGTCCCTCTACGCCATTGATTTCCCTACAGAAACTTAGCGTGTGGCCATGCGGTCGTATGAAGCCCCAACGCGTGCAGAGTGCCTCCCCACCCACGTTAAATAAAGCGTCAAATGAGCAAGTATTATTATTTAGTTGTCACCACAACCACAAACTGCACGGTATTCTTGTACCAGTAGTCAAAAGTCCAAGGTGATGGCAATAAATACTCCCACTAGAGCCACCTGCAAACTACAAGATAATAGAACGCCATTACAGTACCATATCTGAGCACTTAAATAAAATACATGTCTGTAAATTGGTATTGATGTTTTCTATTTTTATCTTTCCTTAGACCCGCCAGCTGCTAGTGAGATTGATCCAAGATTATGGAATGACAACAAAAAGACAAGACTTTATTTCGACGTTCGCATTCCTCAGCCGAAGGACGGCTCACAAAGACAACTCCACCTTCACTCTGCCACATTAAATCTCTTTAAAACACGGACGTTTCCACAACGCCTTAAAGACAAAACAAACGTAGGGAAAAGCATAACCCTCAGTGTTTATCATTATACCAGGCGTTTAAAAAGTGGGAAAATAATTTCAAGACGTTTGATTGATTCAAAGCCAGTATCTTTATATGATCCAGGGTGGATTAGTTTTGATATTAAAGACTCAGTCCAAGTGTGGATGGACAATCCAAGAAAAAACTTTGGTATCGAAGTGACCTCGGAAGGTCAGGATCTTAGTGAGTTAGTAGAATTTTCTATGAATAGAAACAGTTCCCAAGACTCTACCAACGACACATACTCCGTTGAGAACGATTTATCTCCGTCCTTGCATATATATACACAACTCCGACCACTCCCCGGGCGCCCAAAGCGGACCCTGGAGAGAAAAGACTGCGCGGGAGAAGGAAACGAGCGCTGCTGCCGTCAGCCGCTCCGAGTATACTTTAAAGACATCGGCTGGGACAGTTGGGTTGTGGCGCCGGAATACTACGACGCGTATTATTGCGACGGTTCCTGTCCGCATAAGTACAAGAGTGCGTACACTTTTTCCACTATCAAGGCTCTTATCCAGTTATTCAATCCCGCCGCTGCCCCAGCTCCCTGTTGTACAGCCAACAAACTTAGCCCTCTCATACTGTTACATTTTGACGAAGACGGTAACTTAGTGCAGAGAGAATACGATGATATGATTGTTGAAGAATGTAAGTGCGCGTAAGTTCACCTGTAGACAATTACGCTATTTTTGTCTTGTTACAATATATCTAGGGGGTTATTGTCCCTTAAATGTTCACTGTGGTGTCAGCATCCAAAGGTCCGTACATCTCACCGACTCACGTTGTCATTATTCATCCGATTTGATATTCCTAGTATTGTCATCTCATCCTGAGCAATGTATTATAATGCTTGTTATTTATTGACCGTGTTCACAAATTAATTTATTTGTTATTTATATGGATGTGAATGTTTATTTTTATACTATTTTGTTACGGAAATCAAAGCTGTAAAACAGCAAGATTTTGAGGAGGAGGGTTATTAAACAACGGGTGGCGAACGCTAGCGGGAACGGTTTGGAAATGTTGGCGTTTTGAAAGACAAGGCATAAGTTTCTCGGTGCGCTTAACCAGTGCGATACTTTTACGTCTCATGTGTTATTGTTATCGTGGTGTGAATCTCATTCTTTAACCTGATAATTGTTTTTTTTTTTTTTTCTGTTTTTGAGAAAAAGTGCCACTGCCAATGAATTTTGTTCCGAAAAAAGAAATATTACTTTTGACTGACGAATCTCATCCCGGAGATAAAGGCGTGCAATAGTGTGGAGATACTGTAGGCGTAAGATTAGCGTTGGTTATTGACATGTTATTCCGTTTTCCTGGGATGTTTTACTCTTGGAAACAATGGGGATATGAAATAAGAATAAAGAATTTTGAACATACTGATGCTTTTTGTCTCTCTTTTGTAGGAAGAATGCATTTTTAAAGGAACACTTTTGAAATGCAATTCAAAAAGATATATTTTTTAAAATAGAAAAAGGTTATTTTTGAAGACGCGTGACTGTAAAGTAATGGCAATTGAAATGCGTCCTTTAAAAAAAGGAGGCCAAGTTCGTTATCGATTTAGAGGATTTACTGGATTGGTCATTCAAGAAAATAGAATTACAAAAACATGCAAATATTCGAAAGATGTCAACGAATTCGTGAATTTGAATGTTGTAGGGTAGAAAACTGTGCAGCTGACAAAAGCTTATAAAGCAAAAGTTTTTTTAAGAGTAAAATATCCAACAACCAGCTTAAAGGTGCTGCCTAATTCGAGGTCAAGATCGGAACGTATAATGGAACTTTTTTATAGTTTTACACAACTTTCACATCTGAAATCGATATAATGCCAATACCAAGAGAGACGACGCCATGGCATCCTTGCATAGACTTTATCTGTCCACTGATGTTTCACGTGGCCAATGACGTAACTGGAGGTTTTATATTCACTTCAAATTTAACAGGATGACTGTTGATTGTCATAAAATTTCATCATTGTGTAGATAGCAAGGAGTAAAAACCCTTTGATCATTATGGTTTAACCCAAGTTAACTTATTTTCCAAAGAAATTAACCTTTTTTTCGCTAAGCCAAAAAAGAAAATTGTGCCATGCAAAGATCTTCACGTGCAACATAGTCTGCCATTAAACTACCAAGTTTTGATACGGTTTCACAATTTAGTCGTTGATTTTTGCTGGTAAATAAATATAAGAAATCATGAAACTTCTTAGCCAGTCATATCTGATTTCTCACATATATAACATTCATTTTTAGAGAACAAAGTCGGTATCCGTTTGTCCTGTGTTGGGTCCAGTATTAAAATTTTTCTTCTTAACCAGGAAACATTTGCACTCCACGTGGCCGTTTATACACCCACGGTGTTAAAGAAATCTCTTGAGATCTGAGATGACAATCACCACAATAGTAAAATTCTATTAACCTTTTGTTTCCAATAAGCCAATAATATCCCTGTGCACGATTCTACACTTACCAGGTTGATGTTTCAGCCATACAGAGAGTGGTAAAACGGCAAAAAATAAACGAAAAAAATAATATGCGCCTTATCTTAAACATGTAGAATACAAAATAATCTAAATGATGATGCAAACTAGCTTTAATAGGCAAAATGCGAATTGAATGAGTTGTTGTTCCGAGATCGAAGAGATATGTCGACTCTCAGCAAAACAAGGTGGTGTAAGACATAACAAAAATTGACTGTGTATTTATCAAATTTTTTTAAACAATGACATACGATTTTTAAAACTTGTCTCAATGTTAATGTCTTTGATGCAGTGTCAAAAAAGAAAAAGAGCTAATGATATTGAGGGATATTTTTATAGTGGGGATAATAATTCTATATCGAACCTCTCTATGAATTTCTGGAGCCACCCCTAAACTTAATCAATTCTTTTATCCGGTAGCAATATAGAAGACATCGTAGAAAATCCTTCACTCCAATCACTCGTGCTTATCACTCGTACTCAGTATCTCTATAAAAGAATAGGATAGTGTCATAAACGAAGGCCAGCAATTCAAACACATGCAAATCACGCGAACTCAAAAGTGGACAACGCCAGCCCTCACTGGAGTTCGAACACTGTCGTGCTTAGATCAAAAGTGTGCGCTATCTGCAGAGCTGAACAGTCGCATACCACCAGTTTTGTAATATTTGCCAGCAAATTAAGATTATCTGAACGACATAGCAGACATAGCATTCCTTCATCGCTGCCTAATTTTTTGTTTCGTATGACAGGACAAGAGCACACGTGTGGGATTGTGTGTGATATCTAGAAGAGTTGACGGACGATAGAGTCACTGTTTTCAATAAGGAGGAAAAAAAGAAGCATATGGCATAATTATCTGCGAGACTGGGCGATAAATGACCTTGAGATATCGTCAGCATTCTCTCATCTCTACGCAATACCAACGTAAAATGAAATTTAGTTGACACAGAAGGTGTAAAAATATACCTCCAGTGACAACCCAAGTCTAATAATATCACTGATATCGTAAAATGTGTTATCTTTTGCTTGTTTGGTTCCTTTCACGTATCAAAACAATGAGCCTTCTCCATTTTGATCAGTCCAGTTGGTCTTTATTATTATTATTATTTTTAATCCATTAAAATCACAAGGTTAGTCACTGTTGCGTTCATCACCTGATTAATATATTATTTTTATCCCAATTAGTGAAACTTCAGGATAAAGCAACTGAAATATATAAATGCTACCATTCGGTATTTCAGACCTGGATTATATAACTAAATAAATGTCCCTAATTAAAATTGAAAAACATGTTTGCAGAGGGGGAAATATAAAATGCAGTTATCTTTTCTTAGAAAACGTTCATTAAACCAATTAGCAGTTTGCATTTACAGAAAGAATTTTACATGTAGTTGTTTATCAACGTAAGTGTTATCCTTCAATTAGGCTATTCATGTGATTCCTTCAACTAAACTAATTCTCATCAAATCAGTAAAACAATCACCTGGAAAAGTTGTCTTCTCATCAAATCAGTTAAACTTTAACCTGGAAAAGTTGTCTTCTCATCAAATCAGTTAAACTTTAGCCTGGAAAAGTTGTCTTCTCATCAAATCAGTTAAACTTTAGCCTGGAAAAGTTGTCTTCTCATCAAATCAGTTAAACTTTAACCTGGAAAAGTTGTCTTCAGACAATTTTTCTCTGTGCGATGCAAGTATTAATATGTAATTGTTACTTACGTAGACAAACGTAGGAAAAAGAAATAAACAACCATATAAATAAATGGAATATACGATGGCAAAGATAAATCAATAAATTGACAAAAAAGAAAGCAAATATTTCAAAGTGCAATTTTTTAGAAAAAATGGTTGAATATGGTATGATATAAATTCGATATGGCGGCTTCAAGGTTTGTCCTTTGACTCCACCACAAACAGTAGCTTGAATATCTTTATAAATATTTTGCACCAGGCCTTGTTTCACGGGAAAGAACTGGAGGGGTCTCTCATTTAACAACATAAAAAAACTGCTTCGTCGAGTAAGTCGAAAAATACAACAACAACAGCAGTACAGGCTCAATATCTGGTCTCAAATATATACCTGCGAACGTAGGGCATAACACCATCAAAGATCTAAAAGTCAATCGGCAATGAAGAAGACGCAGAAGCGATGCACTCAACGACACGAATTTCAGCTGATTAAAGAACCAAAAGTTAAATAGTCTTTGTGATCGATTCGTCGGGGCCCCCCATCTTCAACAGAATTTCTACTGATGTTCACCACACACGTGTGTCCCTAACATACGACAAGTCACGATGTCACTGAGCAATCTTCGGAAAAAACTAACTCTTTAGTTTCACCGAGCGGACTGAAATATCTGAAATCTTTTCCAATCAATTTCTGGGTCTCGCGTACAGAGGCTGAGCCACAGTAATACGTCCCCTGCGCTGCGACCCCCTGAAACGTCGCGTCAGATCAAATATGTGAAGAGGGCCACTTGCAGCTGTACTAGTTTTACCTTTTGCTGCATTCTCAGACAACGGGCTAAAAGTCATTGGAAAAAGGAAGCGGGTACACGGACCTCTACTCCTTTATGAGACAGTGTGTTAAATACACCACAGCAAGTCAAACTGTCGAAATGTATATAGTGTATCATAGGTGATTTCTCGAAATGCAGGCGTAATCTGGATGTTATATTATGCTGTCCAAAACTTTTCTAAACATAGAGGATGCCTATTCTTTTACCTACATATTGTGAAATATTTTTTCTAATGGTAAGTTAGACGATACGATAGAAAATGCTGTCTGTGATACATGTGTAAGAGTCCTAATTTGTGTGCAAGAAAAGTGCTGATGTCCTAACATTCCTAATTTGTTTTATCAAATGAATTGCTTTACCAAACTGATACCTGTGTGGTTGAAATGTAGGTTACGTAAACATAACACTAAAAAGATATCGTTTAATGTTATAAAAATAGTACTTTGCCAACTTATATACAGCACGTATTTTTATTTACATACATGTTTGTTTCACACAGATCTTTACCACAATTTACAAAATGAGGCTGGTCAAAATAATACTGGCCAAGTAACAGCAATTATTCGCCAGATGGCACCGGGATAATTTTACTTATGAATTTAGAGAGTAGAAAAGGTTTGCATGTGGTATGATAACGCGCTTTGATTTGGCGCGTTCTTTATATCAAATGTGTATCTTCGCCCTGTCCTTTGGAACGCTATCTCCTGTTTCAGCGGCAAACACGCGTGTATATTTTTCTTCGTCTTCAAATAAAATGTTGACTTACATTTTTTTTCAAATAAATCATTTTATGCGTGTATACAATTTTATTAATGCCGGTATTACAATTTACTGCTTTCGTTGGTAAGTACTGAAGAAATTGTTAAAAATGATAAATTAGTTAGATTTTAGCAGATACTTAGGTCTTTTGTCAGGACATGGGTTTACTGCCCATGCCAGACGTTTAAGTGCAATAATTGAAGCTTTTTCATTTGAAACTGTTTTGTGAGATGTAGCTTTGTGTTACTTTAAGCCTTTGCCTTTTTAAATCAAATTTACACTCTTGAAATTATCATGAAATTATTTTCGAAATGCTCGTTTCCTGTTTATAAAAATCAAAGTGTTCGTTCAAGACAATAAAGAAGACAATATTAAATATAAACTTAGCATCCCCTGTGCTTTTTTTTTCTTTTTTGTAGAATCCTTGCGTGAGGTTTAACGATCAATTGGGGAGTTACCCCATACTGTGTCTTGTTAAAGTTGGCGGCCGATAAATAACCGGAGATAAAAACACGCTTGTAAAATTTTGACATCGGGTGAAATATGGTGTAATGAACTTGTCACAAGGTTTTGCAGTTGTCATGTTGAGCAAATTTGACATATTTGAGTGTGTCATCGCGTGTTCTGTCTTATCTGATGACAACAGAATCGCGACAGGTGTTTGGCACGTGAAGGTGAGGTTTTTTTTAGAAAATAAAAGCCTTAATATCAGATTCCGCTTTACTCTACTTTTAAATGGTTGCAAATTCCTCTGCTTCTCAATAGATAAAGAAGTCATCATATATTGGGGAAATTTTGGTATTTCTGATTTCTTCTTCACCAAGACTGCACTTTCATTTCTACATGTCTAATATGCCTCGGCCGCCCGCAATTTGCATAAGAATAACTCAGACAACTTCGACAATCACGAATATAATATAATGTTTATTAACAGTATGTAGATGCGTTTTGTAAGGTGAAAATAGATCATGGTAGTAGTAATAATATGCACCTATCATAGCGTAAGCGCCAAGGAAATACAACCGTAGACATTTCTGGTATCAAAATATTCATCACTTTACCACAAAGCATCATAGCTAATGGTAGAAAATTCTATATAATCTAATTTGGATTATATTTAACGTGTTACTGTCATGAATGGATTTAAACGTGTAGACTGGGAGATCAGCAGTTGACTTTTCCCAGTCAAGCTGGATGTTCAATACTTCACGACAATCCTCTACATATTTGATTGCATAATTTAATCGCGCATTTCACACACGCCTACATTTTATGTCTGTTCGGTGGGAACCGCTTCAGTTCCCCCTCCACACATGCAGTTAAGGAATCTTGCCGTGTTTGAGGTCCCAGGTTTGGGACGCATGTTATGGCTACGCTATCAAACCGACGGTAGACCGCGGAAGATGATCTAGATAACATTAGCACATTTGTCTCTGCCCATTTATAGATATTGGGTCAGAAGACGAGAACACCAAATGAGAGCAGCGGTGGCGTTGAAGGGCGTCGACTGGTTGTGGAGGTGGGAGATGTCGTTTTGGATTATAGACACACAGGGCCGATTAAATTATCATAATAACCTGAGATAAATTGAATTAACTCTATTACTGTGTATTTTTGGAATGCTCTATCTATATTTACCAACAAATAAGGGGGAGCGTCCCAAAATTTGGTCAGTTTTAGCCGAACGCCCTTCACTAAATGCAGTCATAAAAAAGGGACATTTTTTGCATCCCAGCTGTCAGAGAAATGCATGTTTTGAGGTATTTACAGCAGGAATACCAAGTGTTCTGTCAAAAATGAAATATGAAGAGACATTGCTGTACTAATCATAGTATATTGTTTTAAATAAGGAACTGACGAAGACAGATAGTGTTTTCGAGTGCCACCTTTCCTGATATCTGGAATCTAGTTCGTTGCATGATCATGTAGTGAAGTCTGATAATAGGAGAACGTTACCACGCAACACAATAAAATCACGATAATGATATTGAAAAACGTTATTGTTTTTGAATCACTTTTAATTTTCTTTTTTTCTTCTGAAATCAATAGATGGACATATTTTTTTCTGAGAAGAACAAAACTTATGAAAAAACATCCCCTCCGTCTTTTACACAATTTATCTAGCTTGAATCATTCCACACTATTCCTTCTTCCATCCTCCGTACTAATATGCCTTTTTGCAAAACTTTTTCTTCTGTGAATTAAATATATAACTGAACTTTTCCGGACAAAATTGATCAGAATAGGCAATTATAAGGGAGAGATAAAATACTGTGAAATTGACTATTGTCAGTCTGGGTCAAAGAGACCTTGAGAAGACGATCAACCTGCGTGCATCTTATCACGTCCTTCGCCATTCAAGTATTTACGAGGTGATTTTGTTTGTTGATGTTTTTCTTTTCTTTTTTTCACTGATGGATTAATTTGTGTCACTTTAAATGTCCCATTAAAGCAGTAGAATCCTGTATATTCATATAAAAATGGATTACAACGAAAAATGTATAAGCTTACATCAAAACTGTTTTCTTAATTTAAAAAATTAAGGAAGGTAACTCAAAATGCAATTTGAAGAAAACAATCAAACAGATATTAAGAACACCACCTTGCATTTATTTATCGCATGCAACAAAAATAAGGAGGGAAAAATTGTTGCAATCTTCAAAGTGACTTTACGTCACGTGTATCAGCCTCGGGGTCAGACACCATCCCGCGCAGCGAGCGTCATTTGTTTTTAGTCTTATCTACTGCAAGCAAATGAATTGAGTTAAAAGTGCACAATGTACTTGTTGTCTTGAGATCGTGGCACTCAAATATTACATTGAAAATTTATTGTCACAATGAAACTAAAAGGGAACTTTTTTTTCTTAAAAAAATCAGATATGTATGTAGGTACTGCCGGTTGCCGATATTTTTCTTAATTCTCAGAAACCTTTCTGTCAAGAGAGGTTAGCATCACGAACTGGAGGGCGTAAACGTTGCCAATTATAAACATTGGCATGATAAACATTTACTTATTGCAATCTCAAAGATTTAAAAAAAATCCTAGACAAAGCACGATCCCTGTCTCGTCTTTTAGGTTAACGGCCTCTTGAAGACGGCATCATTATGCGTTGGCGTACTGGTGGATCAAATATGGTAACACTATCTTGCTTTATGAAATAAGGTGGCACTGTTCTATCAGATTTTTTAAAACTCTACATAGAGAATCAATTTTCACAAGCTGCATTTTATTTTTTGCATTTTACTAAATATAGATTGTAGTTTTGGCTTATTCACAATTCATCTTTTTCATTTACAAAGAAATTCTTGTTGAAATTGAATGCAATTTTTCATGAATTTCCGTAGTTATATCACCCACGCAAATAAAAAGGTGTCATTTTTAGCATAGAAAGTTGACAGATAACATAAACAATCGCTACAAGAATGTCGATTTGTCTTACGTTTTACAGTGCTGAGTATGGCCTTGCATTTTCTTATGTCAAGCCACATTTCATAATATAATATTACCTAAATTCCCCATAATTTTTTGTAGTCGTGGGAAAGTACAAATGTGGCGATTTCCACATTCATTATCATGACAAAAATGACCAACTGTTGTGCGGGGGTGAATATCTACATCTCCTTGGCTACACATAAGCATGAATATCATACATTGGCGTCAGATCAATATTGGCGTCAGTTATCAGAGACCGCGTATGTGAACTGCTACCTTTTGCCAGCTTTTGCTGCGAGTCACCTGCGATAGAGCTTTTGGTTCCTTTATGTATTGTTTTTATGTCTGCTTGTTTCTCTATGTGGGGCAAATTAGCAAAACGAAAGAATGGGGTGATAAGAAACATGAGCGAGAGCTCATGGGATAAATCAGTATTTTTGAAAAGAGGTTAACATCTGATGTGAATCTAAAATATCTGTAAAATAAATTTGACTTTTTTAATCTTTACTTTTTTCTTGTGTTTTTTTTTTGTTTGTTTGATAGGAAAACGCACCCTCTATGTTTTCTCGCTAGTTCATTAATCAAAATGATCTCATTTCAGAAGTTTGCAGTCAAACGTGAACGTAACCGTGAACTTTACGTTTTTTGTTTCTTTCACCTGCAGCGCAGTCAAGCAGGTCTTTAAGTCGAATATTTAATCCTTTTTCGTCTATTATGTCCGGCACTTGTGCTTGCTTTTCTTCCTTTCTTCTTTTTTCTTTCTCTCTATCTTCTTCCTTTTCATTTTTTTTTTGTCATCTTTCGTTTGATTTTTCGTTACTATGAATTCCATTTTCTTTAATGGCGGGGGCGGGGGTCGTGTCTCATCTATCGTATTTAATGCTGGATTTAGTTGTTTAATACACCCACTGGAAGCAGCGACAGATAATCATTATTATCCCTTCTGAAAGCCGCCAGATGGAACTAGATCTAGGGACGTGACCCAAGATTTGCTACCGATTTTTAATACTTTCTGAAATAGAAAGTTGTTCAAAAAATTGACAATGTTATTTTTATTTTAATCTCCACATGAAAATGAAAAACCTGTTTAATTAAATAAATCTCAAGCAAATAAATAGATTATGAAATTACTGGAGCTTTGAAATATGAAACTGAAAACTATAGTTAGCATACTACATCTCAAAGAAAAAAAATTTACACTCACGTTTTACTCTAGAGGTATCCATCTTATACCAAGACCATCAATATAAAGACGGAAATGTGTGGATTTCAGATAACTGTTTCCAGGATTGGTTATATCTCAACTAATATTCCTTTTGACCAGATGTCCTTCGCTATATATTGATAAAGATAACACAGGTGAATAAATGGGACGAATTGCGGATTTTTATCGCGTTTAGTGATTTTTCCCCCTTTTCAAATGGAGCGTCTTCTTCGCTACCCCCCCATCCAAGAGAGGCTTCTAGATTGCTTTTTGTGCCACCAAAATTCTTTTCAGGCACTTGCCAGCATTCTCGAATATTGATACTTTTTTTCTCGAAAATTGCACTATCAAAATCTTTTCTAGTGGTAAAGATGACCAATCATTAACCAGCAATATATATATATTGAATTATTTACTTTCCCGTTAATTAGTTTTTATAGAAAATGATTAGAAATTTATAATAATAAAATTTACACAGGCGAGAATTTTTTTTAGATCTCTGACATTAATTTCTAGTTGGCCGTCACTCACATAAGAACGGATTCACTAATAATAACAATTATTTAATGTGTATTTAGCAATAACAAAATAATAACGCATTCATGTCTTTATTGATGAAATTATAAATAATCTTAGGTATAATTGTGATATATATTATAAATTGTCTTTCCACCTTCAGGCTAGGTTGAGATGTATGATATTAGAAGTTTACCTGAAAATATACCATTATGTCCAACGAGCAGTTAACATAAATAGTAAAGATTCTATTCAACTGCCCACATACTTACACACAAGGTGAGAATTAATTCACACTTCACAGTATACAAAGATATTACTTTCACACTCACAAATATATCATAACAACATCATTGTGAACAGCTTGTGCTGATATTTGTCTAGAAACAACAATTCCACACCCACTGTTATAACAAACTTCAATGTGTAAATTGTGCAAATTGTACATAAAACCTCATCTAAAACGTCATATTTTTATCTACAAATTATGAGCGGTCTCTTCACATGTGAAATCTTATCTATCTGCAGACTACTATTACATAAAATAAACAGACAGTTTGCAAGATCATCATGACTTGCAAACCCAATGGTCAGTACAGTATTATCAGACTTCATTGTGCTATTGACATGACTAACATATTCCAATGGGAAATATTTTTTTAATGTTTATCATTCTTATATTTATTATTATAACAACAATAATTTAAAATGACATACAACAAAAATGTCCAGCACCAATGTGAAAATCATAAAATGTAATAATTAAAATCGAAATAAATCAAATAAGAATAAAAAATCAAACCCTGAAAAAGTGTGTCAACTGTTTCTGCCCCTTCAGCTGGGGTATCAGTTTCTTTCTTGCCGTTTTCGTTGTAACAGCCTTCTTTGTTTTTTTACTTTTTGGTAAATCTGCAGTTTCCATTGCTGTGGCTGTTCTCTTTACGGCTTTACTGTTTGTCTTCTTCTTTTCCTGTATATTGCAATCATTATCTACACCCTCTGTTGTTGGTTTTGTTGATGTGCTGGTGATGTTTTCTTGGTCGTTGATAGACTCCAAAACTTTCCTTACAATGTTTTTTTCACCGCCTTCCACACAACCTGAGACCAAGTTTTGGTTGCTGCAATGAACAAGAACCAGGATAATCTTTTATTATCATGACATTTTTAGTATGAATAAATGCTTTATATATAGAACTGAAATAAAATGATACAAAAATACATTTTAATTCACTGACATCAATATCCTACATTTACAAAAACAAAGTACTCGCCATGAAAAAAGGAGGGGTAATATATTTGTCATCCTCTAAAGCAAAAATACATCTATCATTATTTTCATCATAAGCATTTGCCAAACAGTTTAAGAACACTACAAGAAATCCCCCAAATTAAGTATTACCTCATATCCAATTAAATTATTTATACTTTTGAAATCTGAATAAGAAACCAAAATTTCACACAGTCACTACACAAAGAATTAAGAGATTTCAAAGTTTGCCTTACTTAGCAGAGTTATAGGTCTTCAGTGCCAGTAGAAACTCCTTCTCATCATTCTGGGAGAAACCAGAATTGTATGCAGGGGCTGCCCAGTCCATACATGAACCATACCGCTCAACTGGCCTTATATCCTGAAAAATATATAGATGTTTAAATAACCATTGAGAAAATTATGATCTATATACCAGATAGATTTTGAGATCTATTTTTGAGATCTATATTTCTACTTTTTATTGTTGAAACTCACCTGTTTCCACCTTCATTACTATGAGAGGGAGTAAAAAACAAGAATCTTTCAACTTAAAAACAGCTCTATGGATCATAATTTTATATATGGTTTTGGAAAAGGCATACCCTGATAATTATGGGAAAAGTGCTGTGATTTCCAGGATATTGGTGGGAAAAAGATTTTTTTGCTATTTCAAGGCTTAACATTTCTTATGTGCCTTTGATGTGTTGTATTTATCCTCTTTTTAGTGACAGAAATACCATATTAAACCTTGTGATAATACACCAAATCAATTTAATGATGAACCCGATTCACAGCGACTCTCATTATAGAAATTTCACACAGATTCTCACATACTTTCTGACCCTGTTTCTTCTTCACCATCCTCTCAGACAAAGTTTCACTGATATTTGGCTCCTTCATGATTTCCTCCTCAACCATGTCTGGAGATCTGTAAGGATTGAAAATTAACATAAATGCTCATTCTTATAAACAAACCACATTTGATTCAACTATAACTGAGTTTATTTTCTTATCACTGTTTCTGATAGACTATAATTGACTATTAAGCAAAATTAATTGTTTTCATTCTACTTCCGAGGACTTTCGTGATTAGATCTTTAAAAGGCATCAATCTATAATAAATATCAATTCTTATTTCACCTATTTCATTTTTTACAATAAATAAATAAATAAATAAATAAATAAATAAATAAATAAGTATATTCATCTATAGGGATCTACCAGCCTTCAGCAGTACAACTAGCTATAAAAAGCATCTCACCTGAACTGCGACACAAGTGCTGGGAGTCGTACAGGAGTCTTTTGACTGGAAAATGTATCTGTGAGAATATCTGCAGAGGAATGCTCCATTGGTTGGCAAGCAATATGGTCCAGCAACTTCTGCAAAGTTTTTATTGTCTTTTTGCCTAATATGGAGCCTCCCTCGCCATTAGACTGAAAACAAAGGCAAAACAAGGCTTGTGCTTAGCATTAAATCATTCAAAACTGTCACACAAAGAGAACTGCCAGCTATAATATATTTTCCACCAATCATGCTGAGACAAAAAGGTCATTTACACTTCAATTGTCTACATATTTTGAAGTGACTCAAATCAATTTTCTCCTCTGGGCAAAATGATGAAAAAAAAATGTTAGTAAGAAAAAAACACATTAATTTTGAAACAAAATCACTGTGGTTCTTGCTTCTGGTCACCAGATTTAAAATAAACTATAAACTGATAGTATAAAACATAGTCTAGAATCTAACTGTAGGGACAGATCAAGCAATGTTTTCGTGAGTAGGAGAAAACTGCTTATTTTCCAATTTGGAAACTAAATATTACACTACCTTAGCAGGGCTCTGTTCCTCAACACCCTCTGCACTATCAAGTAGATGAGAAATCTGATCATGTAGATTTTCTGCCACTTTTTCAACACTGCACTTGCGCAGCTTGCAGTCCTTGCTTCTGGCAATAGTCAGCTTTAAAACATTCACAAGTCTGCAGAGAGCCACCCTGAGGAAAAAAACAAAACAAATAAAATAAATTCCATATAGTAAATGTTAAAGAAAATTGTGACACAGTACCTACCTTCATGAACAAAAGCAGAAAAATTAATCATCATTTTTTTCTTAAATCGGGCAATATAAAGAAGCTATAATATAAAAGTAAAATAGACAAATAATTTATTCAACTGTTTTCCAACAAACATTTATACCATGATGGCATGTATACCAAAATATTGTTCAAACACTTATTCCATACTATATTACAGAGGCAGATCCAGAGATATTTTCTGACTATCTTCCAAAGTATCTTTGTTGATCCATCCTCCATCCAACAGAAAAAAATTAGATGCCTATCAATGTAAACGTGAAAAATTCTGGCCATTTTCTATTCTGTAAGACCCAGAAGACAGCTTCTGTCTGCCCCTGTATTATCTGACATAAGATGTATAACTCACTACCTGTGATCCTTCACCTCTTCAATTATGGTCTGTAGCTTATGGATGAGGTCTACAAACTCCCCAAGTCCTTTAACATGGGTGGTCAGTGGAGAGGAGGGGTCTGGGGCGTACCCCTTCCCACCAAGTCTTAGACGCATAATGAAGGAAATGGCAGTCTAGAAAATATTAAAATAGAAAAACAGATATAAAATAAAATTTGAATTATGTTAAATTAATTTTATTTGTGGAGAGATTTTAGATTTCTTACACTGATGGAAAAATGCACCTGAAATAAATTTTATATCAAATACTTTCATGCTATCAGATAATACAAATGGCACAAATAATGACATTAAAACTTATTAGTCTATTTGAATTAACAATCATGGTTTTTCAAAGAATGTTGAACAGAAATCTAAGCAAAATTTCAGCAACAGGTTTAAATTCCAGTTAAAGCACCGATTGTGGTTTTTCTTGTTTTTCAAGCCTAAATGTGTTAGATGAGGTGCAGGACAAAAAAGGATTGTGTTTCAGACAATATGTGATAGCAGCATAATGCTAAGTTTTATTAAACAAATAAATGAATAAAAACAAATAAAATAAAAAGAAATAAAAAATGCAGAACTATCAAGTCAGAAAAATTAAATTAAACAACAATGTGAAAATAAAAAAGAGACTACTCCCAGAGCTACCTGGCACATAGGCATTTTCTTCTCCTTTGCTACTCTTTTGATCTCAGTGAATGCCTGGTGATCAATCCCCCTGTCAGGCACATTGATCACACGAGCCAGGGCAAGTTCGTTTCTGGAGTTTATGAGAAGTTCCAGATAGGAATGAAATACTCTTCTGATATAAGCCTATGTAAAAAAGACAAGTAAGTTTCATTTAACACAACACAGTAACTGGGGTCCAAAACCATTGAAAGCCTGCATTTACCATACTGAACAAGTTGCCTGCTACTACCAGAGCAGGTTTACTTTCAACTACTGGTCCAGTCATCAAGTATGAATATCACTACAAATAGACAAACAAACACTATGGTCAGAAGGCTTTCAGATATCTTTATCATAAACAATAAATATAAAAAGGAAAAATTAAATTTAAAAAAAAAATCAATACATTTTATTTTAATCCTACAACCCACATGTAACACATATCAGTGGAGCTATTTGTGAAAGCACTGCAGTGAATGCACATTGTGTTAGCTGTGATAACAAACACATTGTGTTTTCACTCACTGTGTATGTAACATTCTACTAGAATTTGGAGAATGTGCAATTCTGCAGATATAAATACTTAGAAAATACACATATCAACATGAATATCATTGATAATTCAAAATGGCAAGATAACAAGTTAGATACCTATGTTTGATCAGCCTCTAACAAAGCAAATAATCAGGTAAACAAGTGACAATATATCAGTGCTGGACTTTATTACTAAGCATACATCAGTTTAGCATCATTAAAAAAAAATGTGGAAGAAAATTATGTTCTGAAAGTACGACCTACCTCAGTGATGGAGAATCCACTAGTTCTGGGGGATTCTATACTGGCTGTGGAGTCGAGAACATCATCCATGTTGCACTCTTCAAATAAAACTGTGGGGTCAACTGAACTAGACAGAGAGGATTCTGTGTTCACCTTGTACAGTTTCTTGTTTTGGCAAATGATTTTTAGCATTTCTCTCTAGAATAAAATTAAGCAAATCAAACAAAAAATAATAAAAAATAATAATATTATCATTAACTAGTATACATTACACATGGGATAGTATCATCACCTTGCAATTATTCTCTATAATACAGCAGGGTATATTTTGCTCGAAGGGGCTCTAATCCGACTTCAGAGGATTCTAGATTCGGTTTGTGATTCCCGACTTGGGTTATGTCTGGAGAGAAAAGCAACTCAACACTACAGCTTAGTTACAAAATCAAAATTAGGTTTAACACCAGGACATTGCCTAGATTTATGCAAGAACTAAGCATGACAGACTGCATGATTGTAAATTATGAAGTTTGATAATAGCAATTACTGTACATGAAAGTTAAATAAGACCAATTTAAGTTAGATAGGAGCAATTACGAGGCTAATATGAGCTGCATGTCCATGCTTGTGACTCCATTAAAATCAATTAAGGTGTCTAAGAAATATTTTGAAGTCTGCACAAGCTTGGTAATTATTATCTAGTCCCAATTTTATTGACATTCTCGGATCAGATGAAATCTCTTAGGTAGGCTAAAGAAAAATTGTGTAGGAATCAGAGTTGTAACTTTATATAACTTCACACTACAACATGTATGAAGTTGCATCAGTATAATAACTATAGCATTGTTAAATGCATTCTCAAAATATAATACTAGGTGAAGGTCAGGGATCAAAATAAATGGATGAAGGAAATGGCTAATTAGTTCATTTTTGTAAAAGTTTTGTATAAAAATAAGATTTGGGTGGATACCTTTTATTTTTCTTTGACTGTAACCAAAATTATTGCTAACAGTGCCCAGCATAAGTTCTTTGTGGATTTATTAAATAAAACTTTTTTTAATTTTGGAAATTTTAAAAATTTTATGGCAAAAACTACAATTTTTCCCTTAGTGTTTGGCATCTCTGATTACGTATCAGATCATGCCTGGAGAGGTGTTAAATCAGCAGGTTATGCGATAATAATATCCCCTATCACTTTATCTTTAGAAGCCTAAGAGCAATCAGGTACTTCAACTTGGTGTCAGTTAAAAGGGAAAACACCTTTGGAAATATCTGAAGTGATTACTGTAAAAAGGGATTATTTCTAAAATATTTTGGGAAACCACAACAAAACAGCATGAAAAAAAATGGCATAATACATAGCAAAAAGCCAAAAGCAATAAAAATCAAATTTTTGGTGTCAGTAAAATGAAAGAGCTACTGGGGTCAAGATGTTCAGTGTCATAAAACTTTGATTCAAATTACCTCTTATAGTGTGTGCAACTTGATATAGCATTTGAACATCCTTTCACTGTTTAAACTATATAAAAAAAACAGACTATCCACATTCCTCTTTACAGACTACACAAGGAAAAATATTGATTTACATCCCAAGAAAAAAAAAGGAAAAAAAATACATTACCTCTACATCTTCTAACCCTTCATGCATGATAATAAAATCCATGTCTCCATCAATGGACTGTTTTCCTTCCTGGCACAAATCATCCTCTTTATTTCCTCCTGTTAGTTTCCTCTTCACTGCTAACATAACGTCAAAAAGGTCCACAGTGTTACAGTGAGCAAGATGGCTCTCATACATCTTAAACAGTTCCTTGTCACTGTCTTTACACTTTGTAGGATCTCGCTTGTATACACAAAGTTTTTTGTTACTCTCTAAAACCTTGCTCAATTCGACTTCAAATTCTCCACTTTCCTAAATAAAGAAAAATTATTGCATCTTTTTAAAAACAATATTCAACTACTAGTATTCATAATTTTAGTACAACCTTGGAAGGAATAATAAAAGAAATGTTTCAGAATGACTGAAATTATATATCTCTCACAATGCTGACACAATGAAAGACAGTGTATTCTTAAAACAAAAAAGGTACTTGTCCTTGAATTCTTCCACGACACCCAAAGGTATGTACAACAATTACTGTTACTAGTAAAAAAATATCATGTTGTACCTGCTTACTAAGCTCAGCTAGACATATCTGCAAGGCAACCATCTGGTCCTCTGCGTTCAGAACTGTCTCTGTGTCATTTTGTGAAAGACGCAAGGACCTGTATTTCTGTGTAAAGTATTCTGCAACACTGCACCACGGTACTGACGCGGACTCTGGGAACTTGCCCAATGCACACAGAGAGTTTTTGGAAACTGAAAAGGGAAAAAGCATACAGTCTGGATCTAACAGAACCTGTAACAGAAATGGCTCATTTGCAAAAAGTCAGAAGAAGAGGAAAAAGAAAAAGACTAAAATCTATGATTTATGGACCTGCTTGGCTGCACTGCAAGTAAAAAGACCTTATATAAATCAAAAATATGTCAAATATGCCCATTGTTTAGTGTCAAATCTTACCTGCACCAGTTACTATGGACTATTTTGTTTTCATATGATGAAGGGCATACTGATTGCACTTACCATCAAGAGCCTGCAATATTTGCTTAACCAATTTTTGAATTACTTGCTTTCAATGAACTGTCATAACTAAGGCTAACCTAACCAAAGGATTTTTTCAACAGCAAACTAAATTTTAAAGTAAAAAAACTCTGATTATAATGTCTAGAAAGGTAAAGGTCTGGTTAAACATGAAAGTAACACAATGAGATACTACTAGTGCTGATTTTTGCTCATATTCCTTTTCATTTCTCCGATATGTTCAATAGCAACATGCTTCAGAATTTCAAAGCCTACCAACAGTCAGATTAAAACAGACAACACAACAATGAAGTCAAAACTATATCTAGAAAAATATGTGGGAATAAAAGTGGTTCTATTGTCTCTATCTGTACACCTACATTTTGTACATGTGTATGAAAATTATAGCTGAAAATGAAGTCTCGCAAGAGTTTCACAAAACAGCAGACACAGGAGGCAAAAATTCAATGTCTTAGCTCTGTATGTATCTATATTGTGACACAACTGAATGAAATCCCTTTTGTAATGCGGATTCATTTTAAAGAGGTCACTGAATTTGAATAGTCCTATGACAAAACTTGACACTTTTTCTTCCTGTTGTATCCAATTTTAAACTATTTATAGCATGGGACAAGAACTGGGGATTTCTCATATTCTGAGAGGGTGACAATATGGGACCTATAATTACTGTCAAAATATGGGTATTCTTTTGTACCCATCATCCACAGCACAGTACCATCCAAATGACATAAACATAAATGGAATGTTTTAAATCTTCCTATATCCTGCTTTACCTATCAACATTTGACCTAAACTACATTGATAAGATATAAATAAACAGAGTATGGGACCTGGTCAACTTCTGGACTAAAATGATGTCCATAATAACCAACATAGCCTGCCTGGGTTGATTTCCATATGATCAAAAAAATTTCGGTTTTATCATAATCAATTGTAATGAGGATTAAAACATTTTTATCCCTTATTTTAAGTAGACATAATTTACTTAATAAATAAATTTCTAAATTACTCAGAACATTAATCCTACTTTGATATATATTACACACAATCAAAAAATAAAGATTAAAAAACATAAAAATAAGAAGCAACTTCGAGCACTAATACCTGTAATCCTTTCTTCTTGTGTTTCATGATTCTGAACAGCATCAATGACGGTTTTCAGAGCCTCTGGCTCCACATCCCCACATAGTACGTACACACGTCCCATCATACTGCACACACTGGGGGAACCTTTAAGTATAATAATGCAAAATTTTCATATTTCAAGTCTTAGGCTGCATTCACAACCAAAGTTGATCCACAAATTAAAATATGGCTGACCCACTTGAAAGTTTACCCTTAATCACTGTAAGTTCTTCTATTCAGAATCTATTAGGGGATTATGATGCAAGCTTTCATGTGGATCAGACATGTCTGAACCGCGGCTCTGTTAGTCTGCAGACCAACTTGTTCTGATTGAGCCTTTAATTTCAAAAAGCAAAAACCTATTCATTCACATGCTTATTTCTTTGGTACAACAATGATATTGGACATAATGTTTGTTGAAATGGTTAATGGTACAGTTAGAAAATAACGACACATTTCATTAATACATTTGATGCAATGGGACATGAATTTTGGTCAATGATATATTGAATATGGGCAATTAAACATGACATTAAGGACCTGTAGTTATTATCTTTACATACAGTGTATTGCATGTAATTTCCAGCCACTGTTGCCACTGTTTTATTCATGAAGTCAGATAATTTCATTTGTCGAATAGATCCAAAGAATGAACAATATCACATTGCTCTGAAAACCAAAATCCATCCATCTGCCCTCACCACAGAGAAGATTTATTGGTAATCTTGCTATATTTCTGATGCAGCTTCTATCTGCCATATTTGTCTGAATCTTGAGTATCATTCTTATTAATTTGAAGTTTGAAGTCAGTCAGAATGTAACCAAAAAGAACAGGAGACAGTTTATTGTTTTGCAGTAAATTTACTGGTACCATACCTTTCATTTGAGAACAAGAGGGAGTGAAGAATGCAAATAACTTCCTATGTCAATGGTTCAAAATCAAAGGGGTAGAAGACAGTATACCTACACTGTATGTGGTAGAGTACAGTTTGATCTTTTTCTTTTTTTCAGCTGAAGACAAAAAGAGCACTCAAAATAATATGTGCTCTGATCAACTACATATCTTGTCTGTCTTCTTCTTAAATTTGCTCCTAAATTATGTTACAGGTGCTGAGATTGAATGCCCTGAATTGAGCAATAATATTACATAGCAATTTGGACTTCATGGTTAGAGATACATGTTAGATCTAGAAAATAAATCCATTGGGTATGGTATATCTGCCCTAATGAAATGCAACATTGAGACCGGTGTAGGGTTTGGATTGTATGAGTTCCAGAAAAAAACTACCAGCTAGTTTAACTGAATTAGTTAATTTAATTATAAGCATTAATATGCGCTTGAAGTTGAACTAGGAAGCTTTTATCGACAGTACTTTAGTTATAGTCAAGCCTCCAAGGTGAGGCAAGCTTGCATTTCACCCGGGAAATGGGAATATTGTGTGTTTTTTTTAATGCCATCTGAAGACAAATGTTTTTCAAATATACTGCTTTTCTAAGGACATATTTTTCAACCTGTATATAGCAAATGTACGAAAACATCTTACCTGCTTGGTTTGTTGTAGTTGTTTAAATGGCACGCACGAATTTCATTGGCTAATGGACATGCGCGCGTGCGCAGTACACCCGGATAATGCGACAAAACAACACGTGGAGCATGTCAACAATACGAACAAAACATTACGGGTACGTCATGCGCGAGCTTTGAAAGGTGAAAATCCCGTAAATTTACTGTAGTTCCCTGTCCACGTGAAATAACTTCAATACATCCTTGTTACTTTTAAAGGAGACAAGGCACGATTTGAGGTACGTAATATATTTTTTATTAGCAAACGCGCGCAATGTTTAACAAGATCAAGGAACACATTTGAACAAATAAAAGTATGGATAAATTTAAAAGTATTGAAGCAGAATAACATCTGTAAATATTGTGCAAAAGGAAAAAGCGTCTTCCTAAACATCGTACCCTCAATAGTTTGAGGCAGACAAACGCAGACTAAAATCGAGGAGTGTCTATGAAAAAAAAGTGCAGAGTAGGCTAGACTATACTCAGTAAAAAGCCATTTTGCGGTCAAATCAATGCCACGTGGTAAAGCTGAAGTGCTCACTCTATCCCAACAAAATGAGTGACGTCATGCTTAGGATGTCAATTTCCTGGTGGTCAGTTTGATTGACAGTCGGTTAAATTGGAGCGGGATCCGGAAATGCCATGTTTAGACAAATGTGTCATCGGTAGTATGGCGGGTTCGCTTTATTTAAGTCGGGGTTCCACCCTGGTTCTTCATACTGATAGATACTTCAGAGTAGGAACACCTAGCTTTCTAGGTATATCGAGAAAGATACCATCTGAGTTGTGACATCGACAACGCTGCAAAGTTACACATTTACCGAAAATTGCTCGTAATATGAATGTAAGTAAGCCAGTGGGGCTAAATCGCGCCGGTCTTGATCAAGCTTCTTATTCAGCTTACATTATACTTTTTGATAATTCATACATTTTAAAATAATTTTATGGTCAGTGATAATTGTGACCGTCTATCGACGTTTATCGACACGTGCAATATTCATGATGAACTGCAATTAATTTCAAACTTTCAGCTCTTTTAAATATCATCATAGATCGTTTTTATAATCATGTGTTTTTATTTTGTTAATTCTAGATTTGTGTCGTAATCATCTTGGCCATCTCATGTCTGTCTCTGTCACTCGCTGCGCCTGCAGTTGCCAGAAAGAAGCGCGGAACTGTGAAGTGTCAAATTCCAGGTGATCTCCATCAGCGACTCGGAAACATTGCAAGTAGGAATCCCCATGAAATGTACACCCTGGGACTGCCTGATAATCCACAAAATGTGCAATCCATTTCGCCTGAATTTATAAAGCTCCACCACATGTACGGAGACACATTTTGCCCCAGCCAGGTTAACAGCACCGGCGACGCTAACAGTCGATCACTGTGTCCCTGGTATTACGTTGTCAACCATGATAAATACCGGTTCCCTCCAGCTATGGCGCAGGCCGAGTGTCGGTGTTCTGGGTGCATAGGACTAGGCCAGAACGACAAAGTGTGTGAAAAAGTGTGGTACAACGTCCGCGTGCTCCGAAGATTGGACGAGTGCGATTCGGAAGGAAATTACAAGTATATTGAGTCCTGGCAACAAATATCGGTAGGCTGCACTTGTGCCAGCCGCAGAGTTGCTACCGTCTCCAACGAATCCCCAGAAGGCACTCCACCCCCTGCAACGTAACAGGCTCAACGGACACTCCTGTATATATTAACAAGACTGTGATACCAATATTATATATTATTTTTTAATATATAAAGTTAACATTCCACCAACTGTATATATTTCGCGTTATTCAGATCTTTATTTCTGAAATGTAGTCGTTATCTGTGATAGGAGGGGTGATGTTAGGGGAACATTCCTGTTATTATTTTTTGTATTAGATATTAACTTATTTTCATCTGTATAGCTTCATCCGTCCTCGGTATTGCTGTTGTTAGGCTTTAACTTATTTATTGAGACAAACTACGTGTAACGTACATTTAACGTACACCATAATGGTGAGTAAGTTGTGTGTGTTTTAGCGCATGTTGATAAATGTATATCTCTGAAACGTTTCAAAGATAGATGTAATATAAAAATCATGCAAATTTTAATATTTGCTGATGTCAGTATTTTTAGTTATTTAATCAAGATCGTTTTAATGTTTGAAACATGTAAATTCTGATATTTTCTGATGGTAGATGAAATGACTGTTATTTATTCAAGTTTTTAATGTTTAACGTAATTATTCAAGACAGAAAAGAAAGCAGCTGTATTGATAATTTATTATTGATATTGAAGACAAGCGGTAAAAATTACTTCGAAGTGTCTGATCTTAATTATGAATCCATCATGGTTTGTTAAGCATACGAATGAGTTTGTTGTATCGCTGTTTGTTAACTAAAATAAATGATAAAACTTTAACCTAAATGATTTTGTGATTTTATATCCTTTTTCTAAATACCATTCCTAATTTGCCAAGATGACTTGATTCAACAGGTTATTCATATGGCGTGACAATAATCATTTGTTTTATCTAACTCAACAACAATCACCTTGGCGGTATATAGTCGGCAGTCTTATATTGTAATAATATCTTTCTTAGTCCGCAAAATTCCGCACACGTGCAAGCTAAATGTACTTGCAGCACCTTTGTCTAGCATACTGATGTAACGTGAATTGATATGTTATTCCTATAAAAGATGCATAAGTAAATAACGGGACCATACTTCCGCCGCTACCTTATAATGTGTAATGGGGTGTGCCAGATTCATAATGTTGGAAGTCCAAGGTGAGTCAGTGAAAGTTGCACCACTCTCCCCGGTCTTTGTGGTAGCTAAGTGTATCCTTACTTGCGTTTGCGAGGAGTCCAAATTTGCTCTGAGCATTCGGCTGAATGGCGCCGCCTCGAGCCCAGTCAGTCGTTTAATGTGTGGTGAGATGCAAGACACGAGTAATATGGGGATTGTTTTATGCTTTTAATGTGGGAAGAGGTGACTAGACACTTGGTTTGATTCTACTACCGAGGCTACTACAGTGCGAGTTGTACAAAAACACAGACACGTGTCGGCAATAAAGTCAAGCAAGTCGCTCAGAATGTGCGCCTAACCTGTGTGAACAATGAAGTTGAGTTGCATCGTTGCCAGGAATGAGTGCGTCCTGCCGTCGCGCAGAGACTGACTCCCTGCACCCTTCTAACCCCCAACGACCCTGCAATTCGTCATCTTCGAAAATGATAGCACTTTGATGTTTCTTATGGGATAGGACATACATAAATGTAGAGAGTTATATACAGAGATTATCTGAATTACCAGTATCCCAAATTCGGCACACTTTCACATTGACTCTCAATTTAAGATAAACTTAACAGCCTGGAAAAGTTTTCTAATGTAAACACAATGATATCAGAGTCTGAATTCAAATTCGACCATCTAAATTGATCGAACAAATGAGTCAAAAGGCGTGTATATAGAGCTATTTTACACTTTTGCTCTATGTCGCTTCTAATTTTTAGCAGTTTTTTCATTTAGTTTTTGACATGTAGCATGATCGTTTTCTTTTCAAGGGATAAAAATGTTCAGAGGCATATACTGTTGATTACAAGATATGCTTTTCGACGAAAAGTTCCCTTTTTTGTGTGTTGTTCTTTATTTAATGTTTAATTCAAGTTTTCTTGACGTCTATTTAAGCAAGTATTATACAATATATATTATTTAATTCCTGTATTTAAGTAAGGAACTGGCTCACTTTTAATAAGTTACAAAACTTTGTGTATTAACATCTGTTGTATTATTTCAAATTGAATGACAGATTTGTAATATTTTTTAGGAAATAATTAACCAACGTTTCAGTTAAATTTAATTAAAACGTCGTTCAAAGTTCAAATCCGATTTGATACACGTGTATTCGTCTCTGTTTGTGTGTGTTGGTGGTAGTTAAGGGGGGCGTTGTTTTGATCCAATCAAGTGCCTGTTTTCACACCTGAACATTTCATGCGGGGGAGTCCGTCCTTATTTCCTGGTTGTTATGTCAGAGCTGAGGTACCAAAAATAGATGACCCACTTATTTAGTTATCATAGCAGCGGCTTGTCAAGTGCCTGGGCACCTTTAAAGTGTAATTTACCTCTGCCGTGTTAAAAGGGTTATACAGCTAGGGGATTCCCCTTTCCGTAACATGATAGCGGTGTTAATTTTTTTGGTATCTTGGGTCTCGGCCTCAAGCTGAAATACTCATTATTATGTACAGCTAAAATGACAAGTTTTACTTTCTACTATTTTCCCATTTAATATAGTACTTGGAAAATTGTTGGAAAAGCGCAGTGGAGGAGAAACGTAAGCAATCAGGAATATATAAAAACCATGAAAAGTAACTTTGTAAAGAGCTTTCATTTTTTTCTATTTATTCATTAAATATTGCCATGAAATTAAGTAAAGAGTGATATAAATATTTCTGCTGAGATATGAAAACTAAAACTGCAGACATAACCATTGACGAATACAGGGCAATAAGAAGCAGGGCCGGCAGTCTATCCTTACCTTTTGGAAAGGATATCCGTCATTTTTCTTTTGAAACTTTTTCTTTTGACAAAATAGTTCGAGAGAGTGTCTGACAGAATTTGCGAAAAATCTGATTCCGTTAATGTAGAATGATGTACATATGCAGACTAACTAAACAGGAACGACGATCTGTTTCATTCTTTTCAGCAAATGTCAATTTCTAGCCTGTAGCCGCTCTAGGCGACAACCCCGTCTTAGCGGGAAATTTTTAAGTTTTATTAAAAGATACACCACAATCCTGCGCCGAATAGGTCCTGTGACGTAACAAAGCGAGATTCTGACGTTATGGTGTGAAAATGAGCTGTGAAATATTGTTAAAAAATTGACGGTATAATGACTTGACAACATGTTATAACAAGTGTTATACCACGGCGGATGTCGCGAACAAAAAAAATCCGGAGATAGTGATTCTGGCATACGCGCACGTTACGCATGAATGTGACTTGCATCATTTGGGTCTTTTGTTTGCGGCATCTGCCGTGGATTAAGCGAAATACACCACCTTCGTGCTTGTGTACTGCAATATTGCCTACAGATCTCACCGACTTGTGGAGTTTCTATTACAAGTAATCTAATCTTAGAGGTGACGACCTCCGATTCCATGCACCATTGCTAATAAACATTTATTGTCGACAGCGCGGATAAAAAAGAAAAGAAAAAAAAAACTCAGAGAAGAAATTAACGCTTTGGAAGGTCTATCTTGATCGCGTCTGCTGTCCTCTTCAGGTCTTTTGCCAAATTAATTATGACGTCGTTGCAAAAACGGACACGGTTGGACACCTTGAAACAATCAATCTGGATACATAATATCTGTATTCGTCCGTGGTCTTTAATTGCAAATCAAATGTGAATTATGTGCTTAAATGTTTCGAAAATCCCCCATCTAATAAAAGAGATAAAGTAACGAGGATTGTCAGCGTCCCACCTGTTACGTCCGCGCACACGACAGCGATGTCTGAACCAATCACAAATGACCGCTATACAAATATCTGATACTATTTGCTGAAAACATAACACCTTCCTGCTGAATGTGCACTTCAGTTTTATGATTTGACCATATGGCTGATAAAGATTTGATTATGTTATTGATACGTAATTTTAATCGCATTTTTTTGTATGCGTGCGTTTTTCCGGTTCTGTACGTCACGAGGTCTGCGCACTGCAAACACTTCCTTGTGATTGTTCAAATTGTTAAGAACGTCTTAAGTCAACCCTGAACAATAGATTGGGCATTGTTGCGTACGTTCATTCATTCGTTATTTCTGGTTTGTAAAGCCAGTGCGAGGGAAGTAATTCTCATAAATGTCAGGGTAGGCTCATGTTACAGTATGAATTTAAAATCGATGCCTGTAGTAGTTAAAACCAGTATGGTATGTCGATCGATGTCATTAACTAGTTCAAGATTCCAACAAATATTTTAGGCCTATATTGAAGATTATTTTTTCGTTCAATCAAAGCACCATATATATATATATATATATATATATATATATATGATGGTCTAGTGCAAGCGGTGATGACGTTTGGTGTCAAGGGGAAGAAAAAAAGGGGCGTTAAGTCTGTCCTCCTCTAAAAGTTACGTGAAAATACCAGGAATTGAGCGTTTTCAAAAGATAAGCCTCCTCTGTGTCAAATATGTCCATTTTAAAGAATTATTCTTAAACATTATTAAGTTAGAAGTTGTCCACAAAGTGTCCTTAGATATAGGCTTATGTAATTTGTATTGTAGTTTACACGCAAATCATTGAAAATTTTAATTACGTTTTGGACATTTCTTTTGCAATGACAAGACATTCAGACATCATATCTGAATATGCATTCCTAAAATATCATGTTCAGGTTTTCAGATTCAAGTTTGCCACGAAACGTGATATTTGATTGTGCTGGTATTTTAAAACCTTTATCTTTTCTTAATTGTCAAACTTTATAATACCTTACTTTCGTTATGACAACGTGCACATGAACGTCCTCTGCATTGGTCCATCTCCACCCCCGTCCCCGCCCCCCGTCCCGCAACTACAAGTCACACAAACACGAACATAGGGCAAACAAAGCACTACTTCGAGTATCTTATTCCACATGTATCTTTTTCAAAGATGACCCACGCGAATTGACTTCGTGACGCCAAACATAAACGTCCTTCTCGAGTTTTTATCTTAATCGCTATCATAATCACGACCTAAGCAGCGTTTATCTCATGCTACAGTTTTGTAGGTGGCCAACGTGGACCGACTTCGTGACCTAAAAGAAAAACGAAGCTCTCGAGTTCAAATCTATATCGAACTGGTAGCGTTATCACCGCCCATATCGGCAATTTTCTGTATTGATGTTGTCATGTAATCGCATTATACTGATCTTACCATGCCTCACACTTTGGGACCGGAAAATTTGTTAGGCAAAGATTCGACTTGGGCAATGTCCGTGTGTGTTTCAGTTAATTTGCCAAAGAAAAATTCGGGATGTCAGGATTTATTCGAGACAATCGACAACTGGAGTTATAATATTACGAATCGTATTTTTCCTGGTTTTTAGACCTACTGCGTTTATTTAATGTTATTCATTTCTTAGGCGATAAAGGTGTTATACATTAAAATGATCAGAAGAAGGGTAACATATAGACCCTACCATGACCTTACGAAAATGGTGAAATAAAACAAGAAACATAGAACCAGGGCCTAGGAAAGAGGAAATAAATAAAGACATGTAGAATCTCATGAATACAGGCGACTAAATTGCAATGGTGAAAAGGAAGTAGGCCTATAAACAGTCATTCCAGTAGGTTAAGTATTAGGGTTTACGTCAGCGTATTGTACTAGCACACGTACTTGTCTATCATTTGAGCTAGTTACTTTGTTCAATACTGAATTGATAGATAAATGCTGATTTACCTAGTAGTCGGAACTGCCTATCGACATGATGTTATTTTTGTCAAAATCCTTGATCTAAAAATAATTTACGATATGATCTAGATTACTGTACATTTTGGATTGGTTGAAATATTCAAGGAACTTTATTCCAACGTCAGATTTTATTTAAAAACGAAACAATGTTCTTATATTGAATTGCCTTATATTGCCTTTCATCGATGAATAATAGATTTTCTCAAAAAGTGGCGCAAGCGGCAAGACGGGCTCTACCGGAAAGCATGGGAGTTCTTAATTGTAAATGTATACTAGAAATTTGAAAGTATTTATGTGAGGTGTGAAAAAGTGAATTTTTATTTGGAAATCTAACCACTATTTCCTTCTGAAAGTCGCAAAACATTGTCGCAACTAGGCGTAATCATTTAAAGTGTAACACCACTCGGCGCACCTTGTAATGTATTAAATCCATGACCAAAACATAACGTAAGCTATATATAGAGTTAAAATCACGCATAACTGACGTGGGTCTCGTTTTTCTGGTTAAAACAGTGTAGTACATGTGGTTCCTTTGCATACTCGGACTAAGATAAATCGAAGTTGTGGTCAGTCTTTACGACAATTTGACTTTTTACATAGCCAAACAGGCAAAACCAGCGTCCAATATGTTGGTGTTTGTTCACTTCCTGATATTTGCGCTAATATCTTTAGCATTAAATGAGATTAATTAACCTTATCTCCTAGGATTAATGGATTCATTAGTCTTTTGCATTTACACGCAAGCTCAGCAGACGATCTTCATTACCTATATTTCTAAGCTTGATAAATGCCCGGATTCAAAGGACGTTTTCTCTACCAATCAAAATCCAGTCCCTTGGGTGCTGAGCCCAGGTACCTGACTTTGGTATCTTCAAATACGACAATGCTATAATCTTCATTTTTTTTTGTTGATGTACTCTTTTCAGTACTAAATGAACAGCTTCATTACCCGAGAACTCGAGAAGTCCGATATAGAGGAGTGGGATGGAACGAAGGAGGAGGGAGAAAAGGTGACTGGTGAAGCTTACTCTGGAGCGTTCAATAAACATTAAACATGACGTTCTTTCATGTATGAACTCAGTGAATGTTTGAGCTTCGACTTAGAAACTAAGATCTAATGTTATCATTATGGTGGTGTTCGCCAGGAGAGTTTAAGTAAAAGTAAATGGCCGATTTCTGCACATAGGCTATTGTGGACGCGGTTCAAATATTTTACACATTTTAGATTAATCATCCGACAAAGCTTACTTTAAATTATATGGAGTAGTATCCAGTCAATTCATTGTCAGGTATACGTCACGAAGGGGTTTCCCCATGTGAGCTACGCTGCATGTGGTGTATTTACCTTTTATTGTTAATAGAGCCATAACAACTCTCAAGCAACGCAACACAAACCGTTCAAGTTATCATGATTGGCTCTTTTTATTTACATTCTATCTATGATATCACAAATTATAAAGGCTTTGCATTTCAGGCTATATGTATATATATTGGAACAGGGGTTTCCCTTCTTTGCTTGTATTCTGGCGTATCCATATCTAGTCAATACAAATCACATGTTAAGCGTTGACTTATTCATCCGTCAAAAAAATGGCGCAACATTTCTGAGTGGCATAAATTACTATAGGTATGTCATTACATAAAAACCTGAAGCAGGACACGTATACACATCAATTCCGAGACGCACGCTCGTGAAACGCAAACAATCCGATTTTTAAAATCCAGGACAAGAAAGTTGACTTTTCCTGTAGTCGCTAAAATTACGGATGTTAAGTATGTCCATTAGGATCTGTTGAACAAGTGATAGTGATAAGAGATTGAAGTTGTTCACAAAGTAAGGGAAGAAAAAATGTCCCATGTACTACGTGTACATGCAGATTGCCTGTGGTTAGGTAGAAGTGAAGAATTTTTTCTGTTAACACAATACGTTTTTTCATCAAAAGCAATCAGTTAACGACTAATTGTTGTGTTTTTGAGTCATGTGTTTTGACATATATGTCCATTAATATTGTGTTTATTGGACCCAGTCAGCTTAAGAATGGATATGAATAACGTGGTGGCCCGACGCCGATACGTCTCCGACACGTTAAACACACCTGTTGAAGAACACGTCATGCTCCAATAAAAACCATTAAAATAGAAATATATCTTAATTTTTTAACGGCGTGACAAATTAACTGCAACTCTTCCCAGCGGGTACGCACCCCCTTTTACTCACCATTTTCTCACGTTTTATGATAACTAGATAAAATCTTTCCCTATAGATATGGCCATTGAAGTGGTAAACGTACTAGTTTGCGTTTGCTAACCACGGTTTTTTTTTTTTTTTTGCAGTTAGTTGAATATAACATGGAAGGTGTTTATCAAACAAAATGATGAGACACTTGACAAACCTATTTCTGGACCGACGACATGACCGAGGAATAAGGAAGCTGTTTGTTTGTCTGAGTAATCAAATCCAAAGTACACAAATATGGGCCGTGCAGAGGAAAATCACTATTACTAGTACCGCAAAAATCTCTTCACAGAGTGTCAGTCCCTTATACAATGATATGTGCATGTTAAATAACCGTTTCCACTGAGGATATTTCGCCTCTGATCTCCTATTAAGTCTGTGAATATATTTCACCCGCGACGACATTAAGTTGGATTTAACAGACACGACAAGCTGAGAGAAAGAAAATTTAGTTCGTTATTTCTAGTTGCTGGTTAACCGCCAGTGTTACATCCTTAATTAGCTGAATCCAATAAGTAAATTTAACTCCCCTTAAGTTAGTGTCACCATCTTTTAAAGATTGTTTTGACACAGGGCCCCCACAAATTGATTTAACCAAAATGTTGGCAGAGCTTGACATCGTCTGCGGGCTAGTTTTCATCTGCACTCGGTGACCGATTCACAATTCCCACATTTTCCCCCAATTATACTCTACCAATTCAAGACAATTTCGATTTGTATCATCTCCGTATTTTTCCCAACCCACCGGACTACCGCAACGCCGTTTAAGTCCTGGGACCGTTTAATTTGGTAACTTTGTGGTCTCAGCGTAACCACAGCGTTGCATGTTCCAATATTCACGTTGTTTATGTAAAACAAACGTCAAAAAGAGAGCTTGTACTATTAAGCAATAGTTAAACATGGTTGCACTAGAAACAAGGGTCTTGTCGCCACGTTAGGCCACCGGAGAGGTATCCGTTTCACGGGGGATTTTTAAAAAGACTTTTGGATCTCTCTCTCTTGGTCTGCTTCCTTATGAAAAGGTATTGTGTTCGTTGGGCTATTATGTAATACAGGCCTGATTTGGTGCAGGTTTGTTCTCGTTAAGGATAGAACAGCTTATTACAATTTGAACACCTCTACTAAATTATGACTAATTTTTACGAAATAAAAAAGGAAAAGCCTGAGAATAACACAGTATCAAAAAGTCACAACTGACATTATTTTAGCCTTCCTCTTTCATAGATTTCTTGATTAGTCTACGGGACCGGACGTTTATGCAGTTTTTCCAAAACGCAATAAGTATTATTGACAGCTAAAAAGAGCAACGGCTTACGAGTGCATTTATTTGAAATTATATAACATTCGTATAAAATTGCATGAAATTTTGTGTTAACACTCCTATTTACGTTTCTTTATATGCACGTACTGTATCTGCTCCTATTTTGTAACGTAAATAAAAGTGCTAAGGCATGAATTTTTGTGCAAAGGTTTATAAGTGCACCAAGCTAAACGACACACTATTCCAAAGTTTAGTACATTACTCGAGTTTCTCCTTCAGGCGAATGATTACCGTGCGTAACCCCATATCGCGCGGCCCTATATAAAGTTATCTACTTAAAAAACGTGTAGTGACCGCAGACGTCTGTATCACTAAGCCGTTGATCTAATGACGTTCCGGTTTTGACACACGGAATTCCTGCAAAGTTTCTGTACGCGTGGTGTCTTCCGAATATTTTCAAAGACAGCAGTGGGTGTAAAGGTATGCGACGCTGATAACAAAAACTGATAAGAAGACACAAAGATTAGGGATATAATCCTCATATTTTTTTCATACGTGAATCTCTTATCCAAACATACTTGACATTCTTTATTTCTTATATCAGTAATTATGGTAAATAAAGGTTACATGTCTGTGAATTTACCTGTTAAAAGTTTCCAAATTGAAAAGAAAAGTTGAAGTTAAATGCAATTCATTTATAAATCAGTTTTATTTACAAAACGTACATTCCTTATTTTGATATAAACATATAGCTATTCTTCAACACAACATAAAATGTTGCAGCAATAAATCAAATATCGTGTCCCAGACTCGTACGATATTACAAACAGAAGTCGGAGTTAGCTCTTAACAAGATCGCCATCGCTTGGCCTTCATGTTAGAGATACTCATTAAAAGCTTCAGACCATAATTATAGAGAACAGGACAAAAAAAAAAAAAAAATCCAGGGAGACATGGTTGGGCAAGAAGAGGTCTTCTCTATGGACCAAGGTCACATACTTGACCCGATGACCACAGCAGACACAAATTACTCCACACGACCAAGGTCAGGGGACATATAAATTATGGCTGATGAGAAGTCGGTTGTTTGAACAACTGAGGGGTATAGTTATCAATGGACTGATAATCCGTTCACCAGGAAGTTGGTGGTTTATCATACGATGACCCTTACCCATCAATGAACTGTTGTTATCTTTACGCCAAGTAGTTAGTGGTTTCAACATCTGAGGTCCCACACTTATCAATCCATTTAAATCATTTCTAAACTGTGGACAATTACTGGTATTAATGAAATCAAGTGTTTTCTTTGTGGACAAAATTGTGATTCCATCTAAACAATGTGTATGAATCACTGGTGGAACAGGTGTACAGATGTTACAGGACATATTTTCTTGAAATAAAATTAGATATACAATACATCTTGGCCACCTGTTGATGATATAATGCCTGTATTTAACGCTATCGTCCCAAAAAGAAATTACTAAGTATCATGTCCAAAATAACAACCCAATTTTACATATTCAATTTTTACTGTTCCAGTTGAAAAAAGTGCATAAGTGCCACATGAAAAAGAAAAAGTTCAATACTGAAGTACCCATTGAAAACAAAGCTCAATGCAAAAGTACCAGTGGAAAATGAAAAAAGTCAAACAATTATCTTAAATGTCAAAAAATAATGTGTATAAATTACTCCTTGTGTTAAAGTTTAAATGCCCCTAAGCGCAGGAAGCTATCCTCAAAGAGGACAGCCCCATCTTTCCTGTATGGTGAGCCACAATGAAATCCATGTGTTATGACAACGACCCAAGGTTAACAGGGTCCATAATCAGGCATGAGCCTTAGTTAAAAAAAAAAAAACCCTGAACATAAATCATGGGACCCAACACCTAACCTTGATGAATCTCAGGAACCATGAATTAAAAAACGTGGAAAAAGCTTGTGTCTGCATCCAGTTTGCTATCTAGTCCTTAGCAATGAAGCCACATACACCCACACTGCCAGAACAGAGTTGGGGTAGGCGTGGATGTGGACAGCCAGAGCAAACTCCACTCCCTCATTGTTGTTGTCCCAGACTCCTGTAGCATGAACACTTTCCACTATGTTCTGGATCTCTGTGAAAGGCATACAGAGGGGAAAACCAGACAACTGAGGAGAGAAAACATAATAATAATAATAATAATAATAATAATAATAATAATAATAATAATAATATCGTGTTGAATCTAAAATATTGAGTTGACTAAATAGCATATGAAGATATATTAGGATAAAAATTATTGCTGGCTACAAATCAGAAAGGATTGATATATTGAACTTGAAAGTTAAATGTGCAAAACCCATTGTTCTTTATCACAAGAAATTGAAAGATTGAAGAGCAATAGCTGAATTTACCTTGTATGCTCCTAGAACACTCTCCAATTCACTGGCATGTTGCTGACCCATGCCCTTGCCACGAGTTTCCTCCATCCTGAAATAATAAAATAAAAAATAAATAAATTCTTAAATCTTATTTAATACCTTAAATCTTTAGAGATTTTGGTGTCTAAATGATAACTGTAGGACAAAATCATAAGGTTTTTATCGAGGCAAATTTCCCAAGGAAAAAAAAAGGTAGTCAAAGTGATTATTGCTTATTTCAAAAACTGGTATTCTATGGCCTGGTTATAATGGAAACAAGCAAAACAAAATGACATCAACCCATCAACTACATTCCATGCATTAATTGCCATTCCAGCTTACATACTTTGGTAGAAGATTTCTGAACGTTTGCTGGCAGAGTCGGTTCCACCTGGTGATACTTTGGGGTCGCCAGTCCTCCATGAACCTCTGCCGTACTGTGCGTTCTATCTTGTCCTGTAGGTCCACCACATAATTCTTGTCTGTGGGGAAATACAGCAGGTTCTCTGGCTGAAGGGAGAAAGATAATTGTTTTTTTGAATGTTGTAATAAGATGACAATGTATCAAATTTATGCACGTTTCCCCTATGGTGATCATTAGTTATTCATTTTAGTTATCAATAGTTATGTTTAGTTAATAATCATATTATTTAAGTTAGCTTATTACTTGCAGTATCTTTAACTTCTTTTTTTCATTCTCTATAGAGTTCAATATAATTTCTATTATTCAAAAAAATAACAAAAACAAGGAAGAACATTTTATAATAGGGAATGTAAGACTATACTTAAAAATCATGGCAAGTAATGAGGAAACTACTGGATGGCCAAAATGAAATCTAAGAAATTTCCCATCAATTCAGAAAATGTTGAAGCCTAAAACTTTAATTTGATGAGTATGACAGAAAAATAGAGCTCTTTCAAGCAAATGGAGTCAATGAATTGGACATGCAAAGATAAAGAGGCCTTGGCTAACTGTCTGCAAAAATAACTATGACAGCAACACTGTATATTTACTTATTTGTTAAATGACATTTAAAAAAAAAATTAATATACAACTATAACATTAAAAAAAAAAATAATAATAATAATAACTGCTGTTTATAATATTAAGTTTAAATTGCCCTATCTGTCCTGACTCACTTGTATGGAGGCCAGGCCAGGGTTAGGAAAGCTGTTGTTGAAGAAGGGTCTCCAGCTAGAGGTGTTGTGGACATCATAGTCTATCCTGGAAGGCTGGTCATTGGGCTGGACATTAGCCCAGATCTGGAAATAAAAAATTACATTTATTTACACTCCATGACATTGGTCATTATGATGTTGTGACATGGGCATACAAAAAAGTTTACTTTAAGTGGGCAGGTTTTTTAAAAATCAAATTACAGGAAACCGCTGTGTTTGTTACAAAAAGCAAAAGTTATCATTAAATCAAACATTTTTCTACTGATTAAATCAATTTACTATTTATGGCAGCAAGGAAAGACTCAAACTGTTACAAAATTAATGGTTGTTTTAGTTGGAACTGTCTTCCATTTTTGTTCTGTTTGTATTGAGGGGAAGTCATTCTCATCTTACAGACTTTGTACTCCTTGTTTGTAGTCCCACTTAGAAAAATTTATTTATATCCGATAAAACAGGTGTGTATGAACTTTTTTCAGAACAAAATGCAGTTAAGTTACATTTTATATACTTTGAATTAACCACATGTCAACTTCCTGAATGACCTTTGCCTCTTGTAACTGTGAAGCTCTTGTATAGGTTGACATCTGTTAAACACTATTTTCCACAGATTATAAGACACAAATAAATGAATAAATACAAAAAAATGATTGAATGAATGAATAAATTAATAATACAATAAGAGAAAATCATAAAAATATTCTAGACAGAGATATTTTAGTTTTGTTTTTTTACAAAGATTACGACATGTATTCCATGACATACGGTAATTACTCGAACTTTTCATTGGGGGAAAATTTATAGATACTGTATTATTTAAGTCATAATTTCTTATAATTAGAACCATCCCTAATTTATTAGTGATAGCCACAAAATTTGAAAGCAGAGTTCTCTATTTTCTACTTTATCCAGTAAAAGCACCACAAATGCTATAAAGAAACATAATTTTATGATTATAAAATTATGCATCTGAAAGTTTGATAATTTTCATCTCATAAGTAATTATCTCATATTGAACTTGGGATTTAGATTAAAATGTTTTGTGTACCAAATGACAGAATAGCTCTTCCGTATTACTTAAGGGCCCCAATGTACCAAGGCACTGTCACTTCAAGACTCAACCACTGTTTTAGTTGGAACCATCTTCCATTTCTGCTCTGCGTGTATTGAGGGGGAAGATGATCTCATCTTACAGAGTTTGCACTCCCTGATTGTAGTCCCACATAGAAAAATTAATTACATTCGAAGTACACTTAAGAAATGCATATCAGAAACATATTATTAGATTGGGTAACCATACTTTCCTCTTGACTGTTGCCTCTTGTAACTCTTGTGAAGAGTGCGTGACACCTGTTAGACACTATTTTCCACAGATTATAAAACACAAATAAATATATAATACAGTAAGAGGAAATCATACAAATATTCCAGAGAGATACATTTCAATGCTCTTAAATCAGTTCCTTATCTAAAAAGATTACGCCATGTATTCTATAATATTTCACTAAAGATCTAGACTTCAACGCTTAGTGCACCAAATAACAGGAAAGTCCTCTTATATTACGTTAGGACCCCAGTGTACCAAGACACTGCCACCTCCTACTGAACTTTGTAACATGCCTTTAGGGTTGCATGTTTTTTTCTCAACAGCCCACAGAGCAAAAACAGAGTAAAATTCAATCTACATTACCAAATAAAGACTTAACACAAGAGATCTAAATTCTAACAAGACACCCAGTTGATTTATTGTACACACACCAACACATTCTGTAAACTGGTGAAAAAAAAAGTGGATTTTTTTTGGTGCAAATTGTATAGAGCATGGTGTATAAAATAAAAGACAGGAATGGGGATATTGCATTAATTTCACATAATCATAATTCAGTAGCCTCATGTTATTAAGATTTATTCCAGTCTTGATCAATTTTGACAAGTGACTACAATAAAATAAAATATATTAACGGAACAAGGATATTGTTGAACCGTCTTCATAAATATTCTTATATTTTCAAGATATTTCCCCCTGTTTGATATTATAGCATGCATTTGTGCATTTGGGTCAAAACACGATTCTTGGAAAAACAAAATGAATATTTCTCAAGTGTTCCTCTATAATGAAATTTATAAGAATCTTAGAAGAATACTATTCAGTCACACACACACAAAAAAAAAAAAAAAAAAAAAAAAAAAAAAAAAAAAACTGGTTGGTGCATACATCACATTCCTGTTCACATACTCATTCCTAACACAGGTGAACACATGGACTGATCATCTCTGAAATCTCAAATATGCAATATTTATTTTTTACTACAAACTGGTGTGGTTATCCTGTAAGATAAATCACAAAACCACAACATTTCCTTCACTTTTTAAAATTCTTTTCCTTTCATTCAAATTATTATGGGTAATTGGGAGTCCAAAGACATAATGATTTTTTATTAAATTGTAAAAATAAATAATAAATAATAAAATAAATAATTTAAAATCAAATAAACCATAAAATATATAAAGAAGCTTCCAGAACTCTACAGCTTATCCCAGACATTAAGATATGTACATAAAAGTTAAGATAGAAGGAGCAGTTAGAAAAGGTGGTGGGAGATGGGTGGATCAAGGCACTGTGGTCAACCTGTGGAATAATAATTAATATCTACATCTCACCTCAAATATATGCTTAATTACAAAAGTTTGCCCCTCCCCTTAGATTGGTTGAGTTTCCTAAAATAGCCCTGACAAATTTGTCATCTACTCCTAAAGATTTGGAAGCTTCTTAATGAAGAAACTGGTTAAAGAAGTGCAAATTATCCATTTCTGTACATCTCCTCCTTCCTTTTTGCAGAATTTCTTAAATTAGAACCTGAATAAGGCATGCTAGTAATTCTGAGCCCCTTAACTGTCAAGAACCTCTTAAATTAGAAACTGATTAAAGTATGCTAGTTGTCAGCTCCCCCATATGTCATGAACAACTCAAAAAAGAAGCTGATTAATGTAAATTATTTATTCCTACTGCCTCTACTGTCAAGAAGTACTAGTAATACTATGTCATTAATTTGGTCTCCCCCCTCCTCCACTACACACACACACTGTCAAGAACATCTTAAATTAGAAGCTGATTAAAGACTATATTAATGTGACCCCAGATGACCACTCCTTATTTGACACCTGAGGTGTCCTATGGTTTAAGGATACTCCTAATTACTTCAGGTGTGTGCAGAGAGCAGGTCTACTAATAGGTTTTTGTCAGGTGAGTCACGGTGTCAGGCGAGCATGGCTGAGTGTGACAGGTGTGATAGTGGACAAGTTCACCTTGCCATTGGCTATATATGTTTTTAATGGTAACAGTGAGACATGTTTGTCATACAATGGCCAGCATCACGTACTGGACTCTAGGATGTCTGCAGATTGTGATAGAGGAGAGTTGGTTTTGCCATTTAAGCTTGTTCTTTCATATGAAAAAAACTTTTCCTAGTCTTGAATAGTGCATACAAGCATAAAAAGAACAGTACACAAACAAATTTACAGACAAAATGTATTCATGAGGTTACCTCTCTCTCTCTCTCTCTCTCTCTCTCTCTGTGTGTGTATCACAGTATACTTACATTCTCCTGGTTAACCAGACAGCCTATACTCTGTAGAGGACAGAATGGGTTGGTATGGCTGTAGCTTTCTCCTGTGCTCCCATTCCAAATTAAGTAGCCATTGGCCTCCTTGGTCAGTACATAGGCTGTCCCACCCTCAGGAATTGCAGTGCCTGGCAATGCAATGTGGAAGTAAAGTTAATACAGAAGGCACATGTTGTCAAATAAGCATGTGAAAGGACACAAAATGGCATAGAAAATAGGATGAAAGTACAGAAATATGGCATAGAAAAAGTAAATTATATGATAAAAAATTATTTAAATAAAAATAAGAAAAAATTTAAATTGAAAAGTGAAAATAAGTTTTGAGGACTAATGCCAGAAAATGACTTTCTGTGCTATTCTTATAACATGTATATAAACATGTATATAAGCACAATAAACTGACATAATTTAAGTAAGTGACAAAAACAAAGCTTTTTTTCAAAGGAGAATTTTAAGCACAAATCCCAGAAAATTCTCATATTATTGTCACATCTTTATAGACATCATCTTACCTAAACATAACCATGCTTGTTTCCCCAGTTGTAAAAAATAGTTGCACAGAAGTACAGCATGTTCCTCCTCATCTCCAGCCAACATCTGCAGGAATTGCTGCAACACAATGGACATACATCAAATAAATAGAGCAGTCCCCAAGTGTTCTATGAAGAATAGGGCACAATGAGTGGAAATGGGGCAGAGGCGTAGTTTGCAGTTGTGATTAAAAAAAAAAAAAAAAAACAGGACCTTTATTTTACTACTTTCACAACTTATTTCAAGTGCTGATAATCTTGAAGTTGAAATAAATACATAAACTTTTAAAAAAGGAACTTACATCACAGGTGCTCCAAATATCACATAGCCCTGGGAAGACCACACTATCTGACACAAAAGGAATCATGGACACGTATCTGGCCACCAGTTCCTGGAATATCAAGAGAAGAATTATACGAAGAACACACTGATAAAGTATTTTTCTAGGCCTCAATAATGCTCCTTCTCTTATAATATCCTTTTTGAAAATATAACTTGTTAATATGTATATATATTTTGATTTGGTAATCTTTCATGATAAACAGAGTACTTTATGTTATTTACCATATCTGGTTATACTTACTGCCTGAGCCTGTGGTGCTGTGTTCTGGTTGAGGATCTCATCAGGAGGTTTCAGTGACTTGAAGTACCTTGTGATGAACACAGACTTTCCATTCACGTCAATCACCGTGGTCTTGTACTCTCTCTTGGGGAACTTCTTCTGCAGGGCCTCAATCCAGGCATCAGCCGCTAGGATAAGCTTGGGGTCTTCATTGCTGTCAAACTAAAATGGCAGAGGACAGAAATAAGGAACAGAAGCAAAACATTTTTCATGGTCATTACATTGTTTTGACCCCAAAAATTAACATTGTTAAAATTAAATTCACCGATAATAGACGGCATTTTCGTCTCAAAAATTTCAAATGAAGGATAGACTTTTAAATACCCAACTTTCCTTTACTTTATATTTATTATCACTTTTAATTACATAACCAATTCACTCAACTTGGAAATTGCTATTAGACTCTGAAATACAAAAATGTTTTGAACTAGCAACAGCTGAATCAACTGTACAAGTTATTATAAAACAACACAACATGTAAAGTATCTGGAAAAAATGCTGCATCCTTTAAATGAACAATGAACACAAACAAGATAAATATATAAATATGTGAATACATAATCAAACAAAGGTAAGTAGAGGAATATTTGAAAAAACTGAAGGCATCAGTAGGGGAAAATGCTGTCCATACACTATGCCAGACTTCTTTGACAATCTCAGAAACTTTTCTAGGAATGGCATGAACTGGTTTCCTGGCAGGATGGTCTCTGGGTACATTGTGAATGCCTCTGCCTCTTGGCACAGGTGTTCTTTTACTTGGTGTTTTGTCTTCTTTTTCATCTTCTTTACCTGTGTCTGGTTCTCCTTCTTTCTGTGTGAGGTTGAGACAGGAATGGAAATTGTACGACAGAATAGTACAGCCGAAAATGCAGAAATATAACAGTTAAGAATATGTTCAGAAAGTAATCTGCAGAGAGAATAGGTAAAAAATGAAAGAAGTTACGGCAGAGTTGGGGGGAGGGGGGCTTCCTTTCCTGTTGCTTTAATAATCCTGAGAATATTTTTTTTCTAATTACCTTCTTAAAACACATGCGGAAGTACATACACACACACACAAACTACCTTTTCTCTGATGTGTTCTGGAGAGCTAAGCTGTGGCTCTATGGTGATGAAGAGGGAGATATACGTGTCCTCTGCGTTCCCTCGGCCCACCTCCACTCCCCCAGCCCCAGTGGGGTCTATGCTGGTCCTGCTCCCGTCATGAGTGTACCCCAACAGTATGGACGGAGAGTTGATGCGGAATGTGCCATCAATCTGTAATAATAATAATAATAATAATAATAATAATAATAATAATAATAATAATATTGAAACTCATGTTTTTAATTATGAAACACCCTGCTAAAGCCCATTTCTAGACTAGACATTGATTAAATTGTGTATTCATACTGTTGTATTTTTCTCAAAAACAAACAAACATAAAAATATTAAATCTTTTCAAAATGAACATGTTTATGACAGTGCAGCTGAAGATTAAAATAGCTACATACAACATCATATAATATGTGCACATTGAGGGGATTACTATGGTGTAAGAATGCTAGCTAGTGTGAAAATGCAAAGGAATTATATATACTCAGTAGTCTAAATTTTTCACTTTGAAAAGACAGGTAACTAGAAGTGGGGTTTCTCCACACTATCAATTAGCAGTTGTACTAGGTCATTAAACTGAATGAAAAAAATTAATAAATTATGCTGATGCACATTTCTTTTCTTCTACATACATACATACATACATACATACAAACAAACCTAATGTAAATTTAGCAACAATTTTTTAATCTTTTGATTCTCAAACTAATCAAACTAAGAAATGAACACTGGGACAGTCTGGGGTAGTGCTAGCAATTTTTTTCGCTTCGCCAAATCATCACTTTTTTGTCAATTTCTTATGAAAATAACTTTAGTTTGACTAAAATTTGCCAAATCAAGTCCTTTTTGTTTAGCCAAATTAAGTCAGTTTTAGCATTTGGCTAAATTGGCGAGTGCTAGCGCTACCCCAGGACAGTATTGTACAAGTAGAGGGTATGTAGAAAGTTCGCAAACAAGTTACTGAATGTTGAGATAGCTTTAATTTGCAACGAGAAAACAAATCTTCCAGTAGAAAGAGCTAAAAAAATTAAGACCAAAAGAACAAAGATGTCAAAGGTAAAGATGATAACTAAAGCTCTAGTATGAAATAATAACTATAAATATAATCTGATTATAACAATAATATTTTCTGATTATGATGATAAAAATCAATGTCATGATATTTGGACAAATGTATTTAAAGTTAGCCAAAGAAAATAATCAAAATTATTATATGATGAAAACATCTTTAATGAAAATAAGAACACTCAAAATTGTGAAATTAAATTTTCAACAAAAAAAGATAATTGTAAATGTGTAAAGAGATCATTCAGAGCACTCAAACCCTTTCACCAGTGTTTAGCATTACCTTATTATTAGGGTGTGGTTCCTGTGAAACATGCAAACATAGTATAGTGACGCATGCAAACAACTACTGTGAGCATAGTTCCATGCATAAAAACAACTTCTACTTTATATGTCACGACATTAAAATGCATTCACTTCCAAACTACATGCCTTGATATATGTACAATCATATATAAAATCATGTATGATTATTAATTCATTCAAGGAGCCATTTTTTCATTGTCAACTTCAACATATATTTTGAGACTTGCAAACTCAATTATTCTGCTGTATCAGTCTTATAGTTAATGCAAAATTCTAGACAGATACTACCTAAAGATTATTAAGCAGAGGCAGCTCGATCACAACATATTGTTAGTTCACATTACAAAGATGCCTTATCTCAAGCATGCACACTTTAAAACAGAGATGAGACTGCCAACTAGTGAAAAGTCAGAAAATATGGCATGGGGTCCAGGGGGACGCCTAGGCCAATCATATTTTTTGTCCCAAAAAGTCAAACAAATCTCATCCCTGTTTAAAACATTAGTAAGTTCTTTCACCACCAGGCTACTTACCAGTGAGTTCTGGTACAAAGTAGAGAAGGGAATGTACAGGCTGCCCAGCCAGTTTTTCTCAATGCGCTGGTGAACTTCCTGGCCTGATGTCGCCTGATTCTGGGTGAAAAAAAAAAAGTGAAGATGTTAGTCTGATTATGTGGACATATCTTTCATTCATTTAAAAAAAGTAAAAATTCATCCAAAATACACATACATTAACTATTACATTAAATTTGTTTTGATATTTATACTTTTAACAATCACATAAATACATAAAAATACATTACAATACACTATATAAATAATAAACACTATAAAAAAACACTAATAAAATAAATAAATAACTCCTTTGTTATGCAGAAAATACATAGGAATCACGTAGATAACCAAAGGGGGGGATACTTACAGATGCCATGTCTGTTACCACTTCATCAAATAAATTAAGGTACAAATGATCCCTGATGGTTTGTAAATTGGACGGAGAAAAATCACCATTTTCAGGTCTAGAAAGAAGAAAGAAGCGCTACTTATTTTCTCAAGACAAAATCTTCAGGATGAGATAAATTTTGTTCCTTAACAGAGACTATTATAGTGAAAAGCACACCTGACAAAACTCTTTACCATATTTAATTATTCAATTGAAATATGCCTATAACAAGTCAGTTTCTTTATGACATAAAAAACTTTTTTACATCAGTCCTGAGTAGAGAAAGTAAAAACTCCCTGGTCAGTTTCTCATAATAATATATGTTTCTGCAGTTTTTCAAGTATATGAAATGCTTTTTTTGGATGCCAGTAAAATAAGTTGTTTCCTTACCCCCACTATATACAGAGGTGGTATATCATAAAGAGAACATTAACTAGGTATAAGTCTGAAAGCACTGCTGAAGGGAATTAACCTTCCTGTTACCCTTCTTTCATTTGAAGGCTACAGGTTTTAAGAAAATATAATTTCCACACATTTTTCAAAGATAAAAGAATTTACCTGAAGGGTAGTCTGATGTTATAATTCCAGCTTGGATTTGGGCCATCTGCCACAGGGGTCTTGGATGAGATTCCCTGGAATACTGCTTCTATGAATGGACGCACCAATATCTGTACAGAAAAAAAAAATACTGACATGTCAAAGTCTGTCTCAGAAAAACATACTTTTTCAATCAAAAATTCAAAGACATGAATCACTTATACTAAAAGGTCTACAAAAGAAAAATCGGAAAAATATAACTATTAGTTCATTAGCATAATCTAAGGAAGCAATTGAAATTTCAAGAAAATGAATCGTGTTCTCTGAAAAAAGTCTACAATAGAGAAAACAGTGATTATAAGTGTCATCTATAATATATATAACAACCTGTTTATAAATATAATGAAAAAACCTACCTGAGTGACAGGGACTTTTACCCTTTGACCACGACCATCGGCCTTTCTGTAAAGGAAATCATCAATATCAATGTACCAAACAAATGACAATTTTTTTTGATAAATAAATAATATGAGATAAACATATAAAAAAGGAAAGATGATTACATAACACTGCAGACTGCACTTCAATATGATCTCATCCGAAGATGAAAATTTTACATAGATAATAGAAAAAAGATAATGTCCAAGTCAGACAAGTGGGAAAATCTACCTGTGAATTTCTTCAATTCAAACTAGTGGCTTACACCACAGCCTACAATGTTCAGTTTCCTGTCTCAATGTTATATATGCAGATCAAATAACCTTTACATGTAAGAAGATATAAGTCTATAACATACGGCACAGCATCTGTTCTGATGGGTACATCATAGGCTCTCTGAACATTGATGACTACATCAGCCTCGGAGACATTCTGGGCAGACACCTTCTTCCTCTCTTTACGTACAGGTCTCAGTGGTCTCCTGGGCTCTCCAAGCTGCTGGAGGTTGATGGCCAGGGTCCTTAAGGTAAAATAAATAAATATTAAAAATTTTCTTGAAGTAGCAATTCATTTCGTTAATTTGTTTGTATTGTATAAATTAGTTTATCTATTTATTCTTAGCTCTGTATACTTCTACAGAGCACTTTTATGCAAGAATATACAAAATAAATGTTCAACAATGTAACATGTAGCATATGCCATTTTAACATATACACAAATGTACAGAAATATCCATTCGGTCTACAAATCTTATTGTTTTAATGGGCAGTTTCTATAGTTACCCTATATTTGGCACCTCCTCCTCAAAGACAACATCATGAAATGACTTCTGATGTGCTGCCAGTCTGAACCTCTGCAGGACTTGCTCTCTCACCTGCAGAATGACAAAATAGAACTCTAAATTTCACAGCCAAATTAAGACCTTTCTTTGTCTACTTGAAAAGAATTATATGTCTTGAAAATTACATAGTGTGAATAAGAATAACGTGTAATGTTACCCTCTGCATGAACTGTGCAACTGCAGCTCTATGAGATTCTATGTCTTTGTCCTCCCTCAACTGCTCCTTCTCTTTTTCTTTCTTCTCATATTCCTAGTAAAAAAATAAAGTAATTGTGATTAGTAAATTGCAATGGAATTTCATCACTCCTACAAATCCAAAATCATAATCTACAATAGTATTCTTAATCTTTTTCCTTTTGACAACAAAATATATTGTTAGAATGTATCTGTCTATCTATATCTCGTCCACTTACAAGAAATGCATCCTGTGGAATGTCTTTTTCCAGTGCAGGGATTTGTTTGTTTTTGAACAGTGGAACTTCCTCTTCACGCAGCCTGATCAGACGGAACCTGCGATGCATGTCCAGTTCTTCATCTGTGGTGAAGTTGAACTCTTCTTGAAGGTGCTCCAAGCGAAAATAAGACGGCATCTGCAGTCCAGTGCCATCTTTCATGGGCTGGGAAAGACGTAATAATGTGTGTTAAAATGCTTTAGAAAGTATGTGATTACACAGACTAGATACAAAGCTTAGATAATAAAAAGTAAAATACTATCAATGGTTTATCTATGCACTGCTGTCATCAGTGATTGTTTTCATAAGCATTATTATAAATCTACATTAATATATTGGTTGCAAAATACCATAAATAGCCTGGATAAATAGCTTCAGGTAATAAAAAGGGTTTATTTGTGCACTGCCCTCACTCTATTCATAAACATGAATAGATATGTCGACCCATTCCATATCATTACCTTCATCATGTAGACTAGGTCAGCATTGCTGGGGTCATTGGGGTCAAGCCTTGACTCTGCTATCCACTTGGACAGCTTCTCCATGTCTACCATAGCTGAGGCTCCTATAGCTGCCACAGCATCTAGACCTTTCATTGCACTGAAACAGAGAAAATATCCCCAGATTAAAATGATTCCCTCACGTATCATTAAAAAATTGATATCACTTTGCTAGATTGTATATATATATGACACATTACTTAAACTAAAAAAAAGAAAAAAAAATTCACTATTTCATTTTCTCTCATCCATCATTCCATAAAAAAATCTGTACAGAAAAATCATTTGGGCCTGGTACCTTGACCGTATATATCTAAGTCTAGATATCCACTCACCTGAACGCTTGGTTGACATTACTACTAGTGGGTGGTACTAGGGGCAGTCCATTGGTGTCCACTCCCCAGGACACAGACATCAGGAGGATCCCAGTGGTCATCAGAGACTGGGGGTTGCTGCCATCTGCTGTAAAACTGAATGGAATACCTGGCAAGATTGGAAAAAAAATATGTTTTTATTTCAGGAATACATACTACAGAGAGTTACTACTAGCAATAATTTTCTTTTATTTATTTATTAATTACCTTAAAGAGATTTTTTAAAGTCACTTACCTTCCTGAATATGTATAAGCAACCATCCAAAATATCATACAATGATGAAAATCTGGGCAAAACAAAGTTGAAGCTCACTTTTGTGAGTGTTGTATTCTAAACTATGAGTGATGTATATAAAAGTGTAATATAAATAAAAATAAATGAAATTAGTGTAACAATATGAATGTGTGACTCAGACTCGGTGTACTCACCACTTCCAACACCCTCATGGACATGTGTGACAGTGATGTCACTGCTGAACTCCATCTCTTCCAGTTGTACTGTGTCAGCTGTCACAGTGGCCTCTGGAACAGCTGCATAGATCTCTGCCAGCATGCTGTTGGACAGGCCTACACTTTCAAATACCTGAGAGGACAATACAACAATTTGGCAAAATAAGGGGTGTTTTTCAAAAAGGTAAAAGAAATAATTAAAAAAAATTGAATAAAGCCCTCTGCATACAATACTACAAAATAATAAAATTGCATTCAGTGAACATTACTAACAGATATCTACCAGGGATGCTAGTGGGGTCCGGAAAGAAAACCTGAACTTTTTTTTGGCAAAGACNCAGACGCAGATGATGGCTATATGTACAGACACATCTGTGTCTGTACTTCTACTTTCAATAATCATCTGTGCACCTGTCTTGTTAATCCATAAGGTTTGCTTTACCTGTAGCCTTACTGACTGTGGCCACTGCATGATCTGAATGTTGAAGATTTGGGCAAAACTAACCCTGAACTCCTGATTGAGAGGCCTGAAAAAAAACTTAAGTGCAAGTTTACATTTGAATATTATGAAAAAAACTTCAATATTCTATATCCAATTCAAAGACAATCTTAAAACAGGATCATACAGGAAAGATAAGATGATTACTAGACATCATCTGCATAAGATATTATATCTGCCCACAAATATCAAATCTACTTCAGGACATCTGTAAGTCATTGATAGTTCACATGAGAGAAGACGCAAGTCAGAGAACCATCTATTGAAAGAAAATCTACTTCAAACAATAGTTATTAAAATAGATGCACTGAAGCCAGGCTAACCTGACATGAGTCCTCGAGACCTCCTTGTTGTTAAATAGCACCTTGACAAACATCTTATACTTTCCAAGATCTTCTCTCCTCTGTTGCTCAGCTCTAAGGAATACAAACAGACGCATTATTATCTTACTAAAAATGCTCTTTGTTTCTAGCAGAAAGATAAACAATATATTTACACAAGATGTTGTAGACTTCATAGAGATGTTTATACAAAATGTAATAGATTTGATAAATGTAATAACTACACAAAAGTTTGATTTAGACACAACTGTTATGTTTCTATAAATATAAAAAAAAAAAACAATAGAAAAACAATAGAAAAAATTGAAAATGAAAAATAAAAACATATATCAATACAATGAAATCAAACATCATCAGTAAATCCTACCTTGGCACTTGGTTTGTTGGGGTAATGGTGGCTGTATTGGTAAGTTCTGGATACAATTTTGGTTCTCCTGAAAATTGTAAAACACCATCCATATACCTAGATGTATTTATTCAACGACTTGATAAGTTTTTGGCGGCAATCCTCCCTCACCCCCAACCCATCAAAAATCACACTAAATTACTATGCAAACAGCAAAAGATCTTGGATAGATAATGAAGACATCTCTATGTAAAACAGTGAATTATTCAAGATATGTCACAGTGAAAGCAGGCACTGATGTGACCATTTATGTAGAAGATCTATGATGACAATCTGTGCCAAAACCTCTTTATACTGGCCTTTCAAGATCTAAAAATCTACAAATCTAAAGCAGAAACAGTGTCAAAAAAACTGAACAAAACAATGTTTTACTGGTCCAATTTCAATTTTACTAGCATGTGATTTTGGGTCCAGGGTTCGAGTTGCAGACTGTAAGAGAAGATGCAAAAATGAGCAACCAATAAATGAAGAAACTTGGTCCAATATGCATATATCAATATTTACCAGGACTTCTTTTATTTCTTATTGCCTTCTCCTTGACTATTTCCCTAATATTGGCCTCTGTTACTTTGGCTGGTTTCTCTGGCTTGGTTAAATTTTCCTGGGCAAGGATTTCATCATCTTTATTGGCCTGCTCCTATGGCATCAAAAAATAATAAATGATTGACAATTATCTAATCTTACTATGTCAAAACTTCTCTTAAAACCCTGAAGTGTCATGTGTTTTCTTTATATCAAAGCCATTTAGAAAAGTAAAATGGATGTATGATCCCTTCTGGGACAAAACAAAAAAAGTCATGATGTCTCTATAGGTGAATAAAATGGAGTACAGAAATATTCACATTTTTATTCAGAAAAGCATTTCATTTAATAACATAGTCCTTACAAAGGTTTCTGCTTCATTTTCATCCTGGTCTTGTTCAGCTCTTGCCACTCTTTTCAATCTTAATTTCTTCCTACGGGCAGCTTCTTTCTAAAGAACAAAATACAAAGTTACCAATATGAGAAAATGTCATTCTGTATATAACTACAATATCAAAGAAAGTACTATCATGCACCCCTCTCTCTCTCAGTTCCATCCTCCAGTCCTTACCTTGGCTTTCAGCTGCTGTTTGAATGCCTCCAACTGTTTCTGGTACAGAGCCAGTTTCTCGTCATACTCTCTGCTTTTCTCCTCCTTCAACTCCTGTACCTCCTCCTCCATGTCACGTCTCCACTGCTCCTCATCTTCTGCTCTGTTCACCTCCTCTCTGGAAAGTTGAACAAATAAAGATATTTCATATAAATAATAACAAATGGAAAGCAAACCTGATAAAGTCTATGGGATATACATGGAATGACGAAGCTCATACCATGAACTGGAGGTGAGTATCCAGTCTCAGTTACTGTCCCTCCTTAATTCACTGTGAAACAAATTCCACCAAAATCTAATTGATTTTAGTTAGCTCCTTTCTGACATATCCTGAAAATTTTATCAAAATCTTACTTTTTAATCCTCAACTTGACACTAGTGTTAGTGAAGTTCTGTAGCTGTCTGAGGGACTTAATCTCCTGCCAAGTGCGGATGATGCTCTTCAGCAAGGCTCTGTCTGAGTGCTGCTCTGTATCTCTTAAGTTCCTGGTCTGCCTGCAAGAAACAAGTAGAACAATTAGATCTGGTACTGACAACAATATGCCCCCCAACCTGACTGTTTTGTGTCACATTTTTACCTCATCATAATAATAATTATTAAAAAGGTTTCCTCATTAAGAGACATCAAAACAACATAAAAAAGGCTGTTCTTTAATAAACTGATACACTTGATACACTTGTTAACTTTATTAGTTTTCTTAAACATAATTTACACTCTTATCAATAACTGTGTATCTTATAAATCCATTTAATTCCTTTATAAGATTTAAGCTGCATTTGCACATACTTGATCTCATATCTGTAGTCCTGTAATCTTTGTTCCAGGTCCGAAATGTTCACATTTGAATTTTTGGCCTGAAAAAAAAAAGTCTTATTTGATCATCAAATCGCATTAAATATTGGCAAAAATATTCATTCTAGACAGTAGGTTAATCAAATATGTCTTACTGACAATTATCAAAGATTTTGAAAACCGAGGACAGAAAGTGGTATCAGCAAAACCTTTCTGTTGGTAATGCACAAATTATCCAGCAGCTGATTTTATTTAACACACATCAGTGAAAGATTTTATTCCAAAATATGTACAAAATGCAAACATTGAACCCGATGCCATAATGGTGAGTGACATTACTGCCAACTACATATCTGTGATGGAGTGACACTGATCTTCACATGTTTCTCACCTTGAGGTTCAATATGTTTTCTTCAAGATGTGCAGCTGCCCCTTTTAAAGCTCTTAACTAAAAGTATTAAAACATATTGAAAAGTAATAGATGAACATTTATCTTTTTCTACATATCTTGTTGGCTTTATTACTTTACTTTGACAGGTTACAAAAAATACTATAATAAAGGCATGTAAAATGCAATATCTTAAGTAACACAAGAGAGATATACTATATATCAGTACAAGTCTTATCGCTACCAACTACTTAATTTGTTTTTATTACATACAATGTAGTGTTTAAAACCCTGCAGTCTCCTTTACCTTTTCAGTCAAGTAATCCACTATGTTTTTCTTAGTTCTTCCAATATACTGAGCATAGAGCTGAGTTAGCCGTGTGGCCAGCACATGCTCTCTGCTGAACAAGTGATGGTGTATCAAGGTCAGGGTATTCACATCCACATCTAGCTGATAACGGCCCTTGCCCTCTATAGAACCATCAATGTACCGACTGTCAAATTCTTTGGTTATTGCCTAAAATGATATGGACTTTGGCTTTGTTCACATGCAATGTCTATTTTCTAATTTCGTAATTACTGGCAGCGCGAGCCAGTTACTTATAGTAACTTATAGTAACTGGCTCGCGCTGCCAGTAATTACGCCGCGGGATATTCAGGCCACAGACCGTGATCATAAGACATACCGCAAATAGAAAATAGAATTTAGAAAATAGACATTGCATGTGAACGAAACCTTCGTTACATAAAGCAGTCAGACAGGCAAAAGACAACAGTCCAAATGACAAAAAGCAGACCTTCACTCTCCAGATACATTGGCTTGGTGCAGCCACCTATAATTTTGTCAATGAAACAGGTTTGTACCCCGAACATCATGCATAAATTTATAAAGCATATGAACTTAATAAACAACTTTAAACATGTTATCTATGGCCAAATTTGTTGCTTAAAAAACAAACTTTTTTCAAAATAAAAGAGAAGAGCAGAATATCTTTCCATAAAATTTGAAGAAAATATCAAATGAAATTTTAAAGTTCAAATTTCTAAAAGTTGTCTGCTGCAGACTGCAGTCACATCTACCTTTCTGTAATCTGTCTGTAACATGTAGGGGATGTCTTCAGGAACATGGGGACGTGAAGGAGTTTCCTTGATGGGGTTGGGGAGAGCAATTATCTTCCCGTCTTCACCAAACCATCTACTACCCTGTAAAAATGTTATAATATGAAAAATATATAAATATAAAATGTCTTTACTCTTAGAGATTAAAATTATGGGTACAAAAATACTTCTAGCACATTTTATGAAATGTTTACAATAATTAAAAAACTTTAAAAACTATCTGTTCCATCAAATTTAACACAAGCTATTGAGGTGCGAGACAGTGCAAGACTTAAGATAGGTGTTATTTCATTGACAGAACCATTATGGAAACTGAGAACTTTGTGATAATGAATGAAATCTAGCAAAAGCAGCCAAAGATCACAGTCCATAATGCCTAGTGATCCTTCATGACAAAGAATGGAGCTTTTGCCATTGTTCAAATTGATGAAGATCAAAGACAGATGAAACCATCTCTTACTTTTCCCGGCTCCCTCAGAAGTCTGTGTTCCATCTTGTTCTGGTTTGTTATGGCTACAGCTGGGCGGGTTCCAACATAGAGACCTTCCTCTTCAAGGTACCTTGGCTCAGCGCTGTCACCTATCTTTTCTGCTGGCGGAACTGGAATGTGAAATCTGCTTTAGCAAAAACACTTCTTTGTTGCAGATGTTGATGTGTGTACAGATTTTTTTATTTTCCATTTCCTCAAATATTACTTTGAATATTTTCAAATCATCGATGTAATAATATGTAACAAACAATTATAATAATAAATAAATAATGTTTACTTTTTTAAAAAGATGTACAAATTCACATACTCGGGATAATAGAGGGTACAAAATAAATAGCTTCTTCCTTCTGAATCTTTTCTTGGTGGGGAACGTACTCTGCACTGACTATCACAATGTTCCTTCCTGTATCATCATAGTCTTCAAGCAATGCTTTTTCTAAAAGTCAAAGGTAGATTATGTTGAAGGTTAACATGTTAACATAAATACAAGCTTTTCAAAGACAAAGTTTAATATAGTTTTCTATTTATGACACAATCTCTTTTTATATAACTTCATTTGGTTTTTTTCTTTATTTTTGGTTTTCTGTAATAATTTTTGTCAATTGTTACCAATCATCGCACCTTCTGAAGATTCTTGTGGCTCTTCTGTAACTTCTGCAGGCTAAAAAAAAAATGGAACATGCAATAAATACCTAGCTGAAGAAGTTGATATCCTGCCTGTAAGTAAAGTATGTAGTTACATATTTAAGATATTCTGACTTTTCAGTAAAAAAATTACCACATTATAAAAAAGAAAACTTTCATAGTTATTACTTCATTTATTATCCATCTAATCATACAATTGTTACATGAACCACCATCTTTCCACTCTCTCTTTTCCAACCTGCTGAGCCTCCTCCTCTCCTTCAGCAGCCTCCCCTTCAGTGGGTTCTCTGGGTGTGGGTAGAGGGCGCTTCACTTCTTCTGGCTCAGGATCCCAATTCCTTGTGAAGAAGTCATAGGCCTCATCTACAGTAGGATACAGGGACTACAAAGAGATAAAAATTTCATTAACTAAGCAGACAACACTTTAGGAAAAACACACACACACACACACACAC